TTTAGACTGAGCAGATCAGATATTTACAGAGTTGATCTGTCGAGCAAGCGACAGCTTAAAAAGGTGTGTGTGTGTGTGTGTGTGTGTGTGTGTGTGTGTGTGTGTGTGTGTGTGTGTGTGTGTGTGTGTGTGTGTGTGTGTGTGTGTGTGTGTGTATTGAAGCACAGACACACAGTACAGAAACGTTACATTATCCAGAAGCCCATAATGTTTGTTCCTGCAAAACGGAAAAACATTTCAGACTGTGTTACTGTAGCCCACTTGTTGAATGGGTGCATCCGACTCTAACTAACGCTGGGTTATCTTATAATGCAGTAATCATCAAAATCATGACACATTTTTATGACACTCATGTCTGATAAGTATTTGTATTCTTGGTTGAGTTGCCTAACATCATAGCTCCTGAATGGAGAAGCTCTGTTGTCAGACCTTCACTTTAGCTCATGAATGCACCACCATGAAGGATTCATAAATCACTCCACCAATCAAACACTATTAAAGAAATATTTAACATAAACCAGTCCAGACGTGTGTTTCATTATAATGCATTAGCTGTGTTGGCTATAATCTCTTGGTTTCAACTTTCAACGCCTTATTTCACTCTTTGCAAACAAATACATTTTAGCCACACACCTGCCTGAGTTGCATGTGCTGCAGTAACTGAGTGGGATTAGAAGCTTCTCTGTGAGCTGCGTTTTCTAGTAGACACAGCAAATAACCTTGGTTACAGTCTGTGCCTCTAAACGGCATGAGCCTCTGCGTGCACCTTGGTCACCACCACAAGGAAATCCTCAACCTGTGGGTAACACTGATGACTGTAGGACGAACAAAGCATTCACTGGGCTGATTGTGTACAACCACTGGACCGGTCCTTGAAGGTCTATTTTTAGACCTCAAAGGGCTGTTGTGACTCTTAATTTTTATGCCTCCACGCCGGCAAACTGCCAGGGCCGTTTTCAGGTGGCCGTCCGTCTGTCCCATTCTCTCCCATTCTGAGGGAGTTTCTTCAAATTTGGTACAAACGTTCATTTGGACTCAAGGACGAACTGATTATATTTTGGTGGTCAAAGGTCAGTGAGACCTCATAAAACACTTTTTAGCCATTACTCAAGACTTCACACAGCAATTATGAGAAAATATCACAGAAATAGTTCATATTTTATGTGACTCTTGATAAACAGGTATTTGTAATCAGAAACTAGTCTGAGTGGTGGAGGCAGACAACCACAAGGAGGTGATTCTAGTTTTGTGATTTCAGTCTTTTGTTTTCCTACTTCAGCTTCACAGTTACTGAGGCATAGGTCAAAGCTTGTTTTGTCATAAACTCGTTAAGTGTTGTCCTCTCGTTCTCTGCAGCCATTAACTCTGAAGGCAAAGAGATCTTCCTGAGGGACATCTGGCCCACACGAGAGGAAATCCAGGCTGTGGAGAGAAAGTTTGTCATTCCATCAATGTTCAAAGAAGTCTATGAGAAGATTGAGGTAGTGTTTGCCTTCAGTCTGCATTTACAGTTTGATACAGATGCAGTTGACATGACTCTTTTTGACAACACTGTGCTGTGCGGTTACAGAAAGTGAATGAACGCTGGAACGCTCTGGTTGCTCCCTCGGACAAGCTTTATACCTGGGATCCCAAATCCACGTACATCAAGTCGCCACCGTTCTTCGATGGTTTGGTAAATAACAAATCAAAGTTACACAACTACCTGTCAGTTCTTACCACTGCTAAAGTGGGAGATGGAGCCCAAATTAAAAATGAAACATCCAGTGACAAATAATTGTCAGTGTACTACATGACACAGCATTATACAAATTAGATTTTACATATAATGGACTTTTTGTTTGAGTTGCCAAATCAAACAATGTTGGATTTACATGTGAAAATTAAGTTGCAGAGTTGTCCTTATTTTAGTGCATTACTAATGACAATGAAATAAAAATGGAAGTTTCCATGGTCATTTTCATAATGGTAATATTCTCCATATCCTCTTTGTGCATAGTTCAATCATTAAACCCACTGTGTGGGATGTGAGACCCAGCTGGCTGAAATGCACCAATCAGAGGGCTCCATTCCATAACAAGCTTATCTTTACCAATGATTTGCTTCAATTTCTATTTTGACATTTTGTTTTCAGACAGGAAACATAAATATACAGATAACATGAGGCATACAGAAATGGAAAATGAATTTTTTAAATGTGTGTTTTTATTAGTTTTTTCTTTTTAACTATGTTCATATTAACATTGGCAGCCCTGGACTTCCACACTACTAACATCACTGCTACTTCTACTACCCTGAAGATGATTCACTATCTCCCCCACAGCATTTATGTAGTTTTAGCATCAGACAGTGGTATCATTAATATTAACATTATTATTACTGTGTGGTTGTGCCTCTCTCATCTGTTCTTGATTCAGACCATGAAGCTGCAGCCTCCTAAGTCCATAACTGACGCCTACGTGCTGCTGAACTTTGGAGACTCGGTCACCACAGACCACATTTCTCCTGCAGGGAACATCGCCAGGAACAGCCCCGCAGCACGCTACCTCACCAACAGAGGGTGAGTGACCTCAGCAGCAGTCTGCATGTAGGTTACCTTAATGAGTCACTGTGAATAAGTCCAACTAAAGCACGGTTTAAAGTTCTCCGGCACTGTGCCGGAATTGCGGCGCAGGGCCAGGGCCATCTTAGATTCGAAAATAGATCATTATTATTTTATTATGTATATGGAAAATATTCTTGCGTTTTTTTTTTTTGTTTGTTTTTTAACTGTCACGTAGCAAGAATATGGCTATATATATATACATATATTTATACAGCCATAAAGAACCCTATATTTTGTATTAATCAAGTGGACCTACTTTATTAATAAAAACCTTTGTTTACACTTTGGCTCAGTGAAGTGTAAGGTCAATAATGCACGTGACTGCACTACTTTGAAAAAACCCTGCAATCAATCGGCTGTTCGTTTTGTTTTCATATCATCGTCGCAATCTTTTGGACTAATTTGGCAGTTGTTTGACAACAGTAAGTCTATTTAGAGACCAACAGAGGAACGAGTGTTGAAAAGTTAGAAAGATAGGCATATTGGATAGGCTATTTTTTATGTCTTTGGACAATTACAAGACTATGCTTTCCGACCGAGGAATGGATGAGTAGATAATGCATTTTTCTTCCATTTGGACCTTTCAAGTTAACGTAAGGATTCCCTTTTAGAAACGATTAGATTTGGTGTTCTTCTCCATCTGAAACACGTATGCAATATGCTCCTCAGCCTACAGCTAACCCTCGAAAACGTTTCATGCACAGAACTTTTCCTTGCTTTAAACCCTGCTAAAGGCAACAACCAATTGTTCTTTGTAGCTGTGAAGTACAGCCTAAGATATGCTTGATTTATATAGCAACACTGACTTCACTCTGTTTTAAATCATGGGTATTTATATCCCACTGCACAGGAAATGTGAATCTACTTGTCAGTTTCCTTTATCTCCTACCTGAAATCCAAGTTATGAGCTGTGTTATGAGATGTGGCACTTCATAGCCGTCTTAGACGGAATGAGAAGGTTTGCTCTACGGAGGATTATCGCTGTGCGTCACCAGCTGTTCCCGCCCTTACTTTTGCATCACAAACGCAGCTCATGTTGCCTAGCAACATTGACAACACGTAACTTTATTTCACTAAAACTCCTTGTTTTAACAGCTGTACTGTTAGCTGTTGAACTGAGCTGCAACCAAACCTGAGCTGTTTGCTTTCATTACTAGCACAATGAATCTTGGGATAGGTTGGACCACGAATCCTGTTGGATCCTTTATTGTCCAGGAAAAGGAGGACACATTTGAAGGAGCCTTTGAAATGTGACAGTGTAGTCGCGCCACTGTGACGCAATCTGTCTTCAACTGCAGCCTTTGAGGGATGTGGCCCCTGAATTGGGACACAGCCATTGTGTGTATGTCTACAAAAGCAGCAAGAATTAGCTACTTATAGTCATTAATCAAACTAACACAATCAACTCCACTCAGAAAACAAGACAGTGGGCTGAATGTAACTGGAAAAAATAGATGATAAAAGATCAAACCTTTTATAAGCTTTCTGTTTAACTCTGTGTTCTGACAGTTTGAACCCTCGAGACTACAACTCATATGGCTCTCGTCGAGGTAACGACGCTGTGATGGCCAGAGGGACGTTTGCAAACATCCGTCTCTTTAACAAGTTCCTCAACAAGCAGGCACCGCAGACCATCCACCTGCCGAGCGGAGAGACGGTCAGCATGAAACACCTTTCCACCACTCTGTTATCAGATGTCATTCTCACTCTCTGCCTTTGTCTGATCTCAACAAAAAGCTTTTCAGTCTTTGACTCAATGAGAAGGTAGAGTCATACACATGGGGTTTTTGGTGTCCCAGTTGCTGTTCCAGATGAAACCTGATAATACATAGTGAAATGTTCATCTCCTACATCACACTGTGAGATACAGTTTACATCTCTGGAGACCAAAGACAGTCTGCATCATGCCCATGACAGAAAAGAAAGACGTTTAAATCAGATCATTCCAGCAACTATGGAACCTCAAGAACTAAATCACATGTACAGTTATTTTCATAATTGATTTGGTTGTCTAAAAATGTATGAAAATGTTTAAATATATTAGACGACTTCAGTCCAGAAAACCCAAAGATATTCAGCTTACAAACAAATAAAATAGGGAAAAGCGAGACCTCGCATTTTAGAAGCTGACGTCAGACAATGTTTGGTATTTTTATTTGATCATTTACTGCAATTATTAATCAAAAAGTTATCGAAAACATTTTGTTAGTCAGCAAAACGATGAGCTTTCAGCTGACACTTTTTTTCAGTCAAAGACCTCAGTGTTGCTTTATATCATTTCTGTTACTCATGGACTAAGTCGTGCATGTTTCACTCTTTGTCCAGCTGGACGTGTTTGATGCTGCAGAGAGGTACCAGCAGTCTGGAATCCCTCTGCTGGTCCTGGCAGGGAAGGAGTACGGCTCCGGGAGCTCCAGAGACTGGGCAGCAAAAGGACCTTTCCTGCTGGTGAGGATCAATGACCTTCCGTTTCCTGCCCATGACAGAAAACACACATTAATGCTTTGTAACAGACACTGACAATGTGAGCTCAAACTAGTTTAGAAAAGGTTTGGGCAATATACTATAATATTAAATATCATGGTATATCATGTGTGTAGCTGAGTTATCATCAGCTGACTGAAGTATGGAACTTTAGTCATGTAATAGATCTCCTCCATGAGTTGAGATTGAAAAAAGGTGTTTGAGCGGGTGAAGATTGAAGGTGTTGTTTTTGTTTTGACAGGGAATTAAGGCGGTTCTAGCAGAGAGCTATGAGCGGATCCACCGCAGTAACCTGGTTGGGATGGGAGTGATTCCTCTGGAGTATCTCTCAGGGGACACTGCTGGCAGTCTGGGGCTGACCGGCACAGAGCGCTACACGATCATCATCCCCAAGCAGCTCACACCCAGGATGATTGTGGATGTGAAGGTTGGTTAACGACAGTTTCTTGGAGATTAGGGACTTAATTCCACTCGTAATGAAATGTCGAAATACGTGATGATGTCTTTCTGTCCCCGACAGCTCGACACGGGGAAAACCTTCCAAGTGCGAATGAGATTTGACACTGACGTGGAGCTGGCGTATTTCCACCACGGAGGAATCCTCAACTACATGATCCGCAAGATGTCTGAGAACTAACTCTAACAGCAACAGCACAGACAGAGAGAAACATGTTTAATTTGTCTAATTATCAGCTACAGTCCAACATGGAATCAGTGTAATGCAGTAGTTGACAGAGGAACACCGTCCAGGATCAGTCCAGGGGTTCTCCATGTTTGGTGCAGAACACACAACACACACACACAACATCTTCCCATGAATGTGAATGGGGAAAGAATATTCTCATTTTTGAGATTGCTGCTACTCGTCATGTTTGAAACACACAGCAGACCTGGGGTGAAGATGCACATAAATATATGAATATATATATGAGATGTGAATATTCAGTGAAGATATGCAAGATAGGAAGATGTTTGATTTAAAGATGCCACATGAAATAAGTCAACTTTGTTTCACCTCATTCAGATGTCCTCCAGTGTTTCACTCTCATCCCAACCTGCTATCTGTGTCTGTCTGTGTTTCCTGGTTCACTTTGTACGGTTTCAGAGATGTGATACATCTGGAATCAAGGAGACGGATTATTCTAGTTTATTACTGCTTAACTCTTATTTAGTATTTCATCAGTTGGTACCTCAGTGCTGTGTTCTTCAGTGCTGTGGTCTCCAGGACTGAAGACTTCCGTACTGCTGTGTACAGTACTGTGTTTTTGTCCTCTTGTAACAGTATGGAGAGCTGTGTTTTAATTGTAGGTCCTTGTCTCGTTAGCGGTTTGCATTCCCACAAGGACGCGTGTGTACGTCATACACATTCCAACCAATAGTTTTGCACTTGTCCACTGATCTACAGGTATAAACAATGTGCTAACAAAGGAAGTGAAGAAGAAGCCAGGAAACATGGATTTAAACAATGCAGGTTTTAAAATTGGAAGATAATGTTTTACAAGGACAGAGATGTATTCAACACATTTGCTTGTGTTGAAACTGTGTGTCATAAGAACAGATCAAGTTTTGACAGCCACAGTTATGAAAACAAGACCCAGGTTGTAATAAAGCAGAATTATTCTTTATGTTGAGATTTAAGCTTCCTGTTGGTTCCTCAGACATTCCAGACTTAGTTGTAAACCTGCTTTTTGTCAATGTGTCAACTTAATGTTATCAGCTGCCTTAATAACTTCACGTGTCTGATCATCTTGTTTGTATTTATCCTAAAACACTGATCATTGTGATTATGAAAACTGACTGTTGAACCTTTAGTCTGAATGCATTAATCCACAGAATCCTGATAAATAAAATGACTTGTGATTTTTACTTCATTTTCCTGTCATTGATTTGCTTCAGCTTTGTCAAATTTGATCAAGTCTATTTATTTGTAGAAGGCACCAATATAACAGTGTATTATTAGTCAGTTTATAGCTCATTTTCATCTACAGTCCCTCAGCCCTTAAACTTCAAACACTAACACAATTATGAGGCTGTATTGGAATGTTATTTTTGATACACTTGAGAATATGAGTCTGAAAATAGTCCCAGAAAGCTCTTTAATTCCATAAATAGTCTGTGGGCTGACGGTGCTTTGCTCACCAATCCTGAACAAAGTGAGTTTTTGAGCTGCTGGCTATCACCTGCACTATTTTTAATTTGACGTGAGTAGAGGAAGTGAGAGCTTTGTGGTCAGCTGAGTTGTCTGCTTTACCTTCCTGTTGTGTGTTTTGTCTCGTCCAACTGCTGATTTTAGCCACCAGAGGGCACTGTGAGCAGGATTCACCAGACTGTACAGACTAATGACAAATCAGTTATGAAATGCTAACAATACAACCACCAATTTTGTATTTCAGTCATACTGCAATATTTCATGCACTAATTGAAATATTTAAAATCAAGTCGAGTTGCATTATGGGTAACGTAGGCAACAGGTTTTGACAAGGAAGAAGAATATCTGTGGTTCTGCTGCATCAATTTAAATATGTTTTTAACTGTCCATCATGAGTTGTAGAAGCACAAGGCTTTAATATAGTTTCTCCACGCTGCCATGAATAAAGTTCTGCTGGGGAATTCATACATAAAGCCACATTTAAACACATGAGTCTAAAAATTGTGTAATCAAACCAGACAATCAAATATCAGAATTCTTGTACTTGAAAATGTAATCTACAACAGGTTAAAAAGCCTCAGTGTCCTCAGAGCTACCACTCAGTTTTTTTTCATTAAATGGAAATAATGTAGATGTAGCTGGAGAAAACAAAGTGCAGATTTTAGCACAAAGTCAGCACAATGTTTTTTTCACTCATAAATATCCACAACCATGTGCGTAGTAAGAAGAGAAAATGATAATAGTTAATGGAGGGGAGGATGACCTCTGGCTGCTACAGTGAAAACAGAGATGAATGTCTTCATTGTTGTCCTGTTGGCTTTCTCATTAATTGTTAATTATCCTAAATGGGCTTATTGGAGTTGATCTTTGCTTTTGTGTCTGGACTACTTTCTGAATTATAATACCTTTATACTGGGACAGAATCATTCCTATACAGATGCTGTTGAAATGAGAAATGACTGGTCTATATGGACTCTATAGATGTAGTAGCAGAAGGAGGATCTTCTGTGTGTGGTTCATGTTTCACCAGCCATTTGTTTGTGACTCAGGTCATCAGAGTAAAAAGAGACAGAGGGATGGAAAAAGCTGGGGTGGGGGAGGAGTGGAGTTTGACATGAGAAGCCAGCTGCACGTGTTGCACACACATGCATGACCCTGCCAAGGTCCAGTACACCTACAGCATGTGCTCACACTCACATCAAACATATATGTACAGTAAAACCTGAGGGAGCGCTGGACATGGACCTCAAACTCATTTGAAAACATTTGAATTATTCAAATCTCTGAAAACCAATTCACTAAACCCTTTATGTCCAGATCTGAGAGGTGCTGCTCACTACACAGGACATTTTGATTGCTAATGTTGGCTGGTTAGCCAAACTGCTATTTGGATTCATGCTGAGGCTTAGTATGTAATTTAGCAAGTTACTGTGCTGCCAATAGTGTGGTCATGTTGTAATGTTTAGTTAGCATTTTAACATACTAACATTAGAACATCAGTATTCACTTGTACAGTGTTCACTAGTACATTTACTCAAGTACTGTACTAATTTTGAGGTGCTTGTACTTTACATGAGTATTTCCATTTCATGCTACTTTTGACTTCCACTCCATTCCATTATTTGACAGCTTTAGTTACTAGTTACCCAGAGAGCAAAATAAACTCGGCCCACATACAGTATGATTGTCACACACAAAAAATCTTCAGGCTGTCAGACACTACTTGACCAACCAGTGGCTTCCAACCTGTCCTACTAAAATCAGAGTGTAGCCAGGTCACAGTTAACAGCTCCACCAACCTTGATTTTTCCCTCTAAACATCTCACGTGGGTTTCATTTCAATAGAGGTTCAAATGATCCAGTATTTCACTACAAATCAAAGATTAGAGAAAATGTCCAAAAACAAGATTTATGGATCAGAACTTTGTTTTTTCTTTTTGCCTCTCACATTAATCATCTCATCACCACTCAGGTACACTCAGATGTCCCTGTATGTACTTTAAACTAGCTCCAACAGTAACATGCTGCTGACACACTGATGCTCTGACTGATCAGTCAGACCAAACCAGGAATTTTACTTCAATACTTTTAACTACAGTTTGCTGCAAATACCTCTGTACTTTAATTTTTCATGCAGGACTTTTACATGTAATGCCATGTTTTTATATTATTATTAGTATTTTTTTATGTAAGTAAAGGACCTGAACTTCTTCCACCACAAATTATGTTTGAAATTTGTTAGAGAATGTGACACTTTTAACATGCTAACATTTAGCTATCAATTTGCTAACCTTTTATAATAATAAGTTCAGTTTTATTAATGTCTTATTAAATTATTTCATATTTTGTTGGTTCATTTATGTATGTTATTCATATGATCATTTGTTTAATTTTGTCTTGCTTATTCAATATTGGCCACTTTGAGGCTCCATACTGATCATGTCATTGTATGATGCTGTTGTTTACCATTATGTTAGCGTTACTCCAAAGGAACAGGTGAGGCTGCAATCAATTTCAGTCATAAATCTTAGTAGGATTAAGATCAAAGAATTCATTCTTGTGGGATCTTGAATAACCAGCAAATTCAACCACAATCCAGTCCTCAATATCGTCTCTAGATCAAATAACTGGACCAGATACAGTAACTAACATTGCCATCAATGTTGCCAGTATGGCTAAATCAAATGTGGACTAATTATGACTAACATGTGGAGCTACATCTTGATAAGACCCTTAAAATGAATAAAGAGCCACAATGAAAACATTTTTTGGTATAATTTATTCAATAAAACTTAAATCATCCATATTATTAGTGCTATTTGAAACATCAATTAACATAATGACGGAGGGTTGTCACTTTTTCAGCTGTTATTAACCTCCAACTCTAGTCATTCATAAATTAAGTACATGTGTAATGAAATTAGTGTTGTTCATCAGTCACCCCTGAGTACGTCACTAGGTAAGACACAGTAGTCTGTTAGTCTAACATTCACACACTGCTCAACCAATAGATTCAAGTCTGACAGCCACAGTCTAGAGAGGAGGAGGAGGAGGCGGTGGGGTCTGTTTGAACGATGGTTCTTCTCAGTGACGGAGACACAGAAGCTGTATTGAGGTAGAAACATCGCTTTAACACTGGATGCATCGTTATCTGATGAATCTCTCTGACTATTCATTAGAAAGCTAAACCTGAACTGTGCTCAAATCATACAGTACTGCAGGGTTGACCCTTAAAGGAGGAGTTCAGAGAAGCTTTAAAGTGCACCATAACAGCATGATTATAACAACTAATCAATATGGTCCTTATGTACTCATTCCAGTGTGATAATAATAAACCATCTCTAATCATTTTGTGCAAGTGAACGCATCGATGTGCAGCTATGAGCAGAACTAACAGACTGATAATCATAACACTTCTGAAATGAGACACTGACAAACACGAGTTATCAACGTGTGAATGTGATGAACGAGTGACAGATTACAGTTTAAGACGTGACTCCCTCTGAGAAATACTGCATGACAACGAAACCACCAAGAAGTAACATGAAAACACAGAAAGAAAACACACACTCTCTTAATTCATATTCATCTAAGCACCTACAGACATGGTCCATTTTCATTGTGCACTTTTTTTTTTTTTTTACATATCTCTAATAATTTCGTCTTCCCTAATCAGGGAGGTCACAGCAGCACCAAGTGTTCAGCAAGTGGGCTCTTGAATTACGGTTGATTGATTTTACTGAATAGAACTGGACCTGCAGAGTAGTAACAACTGTTCTGTCAAATCCATGAATGCTGTGGACCACATAATGCCCATCACCCACGAGTGGGTATGACATATACAATATATTTCTTTTCTGTTGGGATATTTCTGACCGTTAGCTTACCGGGCTAACATGATGCATTCGCTACACTCACTCTCTCTCCCCCTTCTTTGTGGACACTGCGTATCTACTTGAAACACATGACAAACATGGATGCAGACAATTGGTACAATCAGAAGGTAAAAGAGAATTTCTTAATAAATTGGATTAATAGCAACCAAACCCAAACTTGGCCCTGGGTCCAAAGCTTTACGCAGTGAAGTGGGGCCTGCAGAGTTTGGGTCAGGCAGCAGAAAAAACAAGATGTCAGAAAACAGATGTCTACAAAGGATATGATCCTACAGCACAGAAACACTTGCTAGCACTAAGGCTAACCTTCCTTCATGCAATTTAAAACTTAATAAATAGATGGTAGCTGTTGTAAGATTAGCAGTTAATTTACATGGTGAACCTCCCAAGTTGCGCCTCTCATGTATTACCATTGTGTTTGAGTCACACACCAAAGCATCTGATCTCTGAAACCCCAGTGGGTCATTAAACAACACGGTCCATGTGGATGAAAACATATTTCTAAATTGTGTCTCTTTTTCAGATGCAGTTAGCTTTGCTGGTTTTGTATGACATTAAAATAACATATTTTTTGTATGGAAATATAACATAAAAAGTAACATCAATTTAGACAAATAAAATTAATAAAACTGTTTTAATTTTAGTTAGTTTGTTCAAATTTAACACAGACATTTCATGCGCTTCTCTTTGATTGCATTAGGAAATAATGGTGCACCTTCTTTTTTGTGGCACTGCCGGCAAAATAGCTATTTTTCCAGATGGTTGGTTCCCCGGAGTCTCAAAAGATTATTTTTAATCTTGTGCTTATAAGATTAAAAAGAGAATCTTTTTTGGTTGGTGGCACTTCTAGGCCTCCATACAAAAAGTCACTGAGGATGATGAAAACACCTTGATAGCAGCAGCAAGTGCTGTTAAATGACCCTCTGGGATTTCGTTGACTTGAGTAATGATAATACACAGGTGCAAAGTGCTGGGTGAACCGTTAACCTGATCTATTTCTAGAGTGCAAAACTACACAGGAAGTGCCTGATGACATAGTATTACTACAGTATTGCCATGATTTCAACTTTCACTTTTCTAAAGTATGGCTTTTGCTCTGAGAGGTTGTTGTACATCACATGACATGAAAAGCCTTCGTCACAATGCCGGCCATCAAACTAGACCCGCTGATAGATTCTACTAACATGAGCCGTCAGTAAAAAGATATGCCTGTACAGAGTGGGTACCACTGACCTGCGCCCCAGAAAAATCCAATATGCTTTCCATACTGTTTAGAAAACATCAGATTTATATTACATTTAATATGAAGTAGAAGACTTTGAACAATGTGAAGGTTTTGAATGGGGAACAAGTCATCAGTATAATAAAAAAACATACAAACAGCAGATGTATTAACTGCACCATGAGAACATTTCACATAGAAATAACCCAAGTATTCAAACAGAAGATGTCAGCAGAGAACATCATTATATACTTAAGAAATGTTATGTGTCCCTTAAGGTTAGAAAGTGAGCATGGCTTCTCAATGACAGGCCAGACTGGACCGGCCCCCTGAAAGTGCTTTACTGTAAGACTGATATGAGCTCTCAGCTATTTCTGTTACGTCAGCAAGGCCACCACACTTCCTGCTGCAAGGGTCACTTGGAAAGAGAAAGGAAACGGGACTGTTTGTGTAAGTCAGAGGAAGAGAAGGTATGGTTAACAATGCTCAGACAGAAGGATTCATTCAGTGTCAGACAGTGGCTTCAACTGAAGCCACAGCAGAGAAGTTTTGAAAGATACCGTTTGAGGTTAGAGGAAGGGGAAGTGCTACAGGAGGAAGGACATGACAGCAGACAACTCACTGACAAGTTCTGACTTTTAAGCCACATTACCCAAATGTTCTGTGGAACATGTGTTCTCCTGGGTACCGACACCTTTCCTCTGTTCTCACGTATACAGCCCCTAGAGGTAGTTATTATCCCCACTGCTCAGACATCCTGTTGGAACATGCTGGAACAGCTCAGGGGAAAGAGCTGGCACGGTCTTTCAATATCCACTCAAGCAGACAGCCACCCTGTGGTGAGCTCAGAATATAATCCTTTCATCTCCTGTTGTCCCCAATTTCCCTCATGAAAGCTTGAAAAATGCTCCCAAAAGAGGCTGGAACATACGAGCAACTTGAAATCGGATGGGAAATAAATTTGACTTGTGCGCTTCTCTTAGTGGCATGGCTCTGTGTACATGTGCAAATCTTCCATCACAGTCGACAAGATAAAAAAAGACGTCTGTGTGATCAATGACATTTCAGGTGTTTCTTGAGGTGTTCCTTTGCTAGCTGGTCTCTCTGAGGTCCGTAGATGCAGTTGGCGCGCCAGGAGAACCACACGATGATGGAGATGATGGTGGTCTGGAGGAGGAACATCACCCCATAGGTGGAAGCTATGGTAGGTCCAGGTAGACGGGAGAGGGTGGCAGGGGGCAGCAGCAGAGTCGGACTGAGCAGGATGGCCCTCACCTCAGCCTTGATCATCTGGAGTTCGTCAAGGATGGACAAAAATGTGCAGCAGTGGAACCACTGGTGGCTGTGGCCCCAGATGTCAAAACAACCCGGAGCTAGCCGCTCAGGGAACTTGCTGATGTTGAAGACGGCTGACACCAGCAGCCAGAGGCAGTGGCGATAGAAGAAGGTGGGCATGGAAGTGGAAGCAGCAAAGGAGGAGGAGGTGGTGGAATAAGGCGATCTGGTGAGGAGGCGATAGAAGACCGGCGTGGAAGAGACGAGGAATGGGAGAAGGAAAACAAGGGTCCGGATAACATATCGATGCTTCCTCCACCTCTGACGAGTATTGCAGCAGGATAAGACACAAATGATTGCTACAACACATGCGCACGGGATGTAGAAGGTTTCAAAGAACACACTGAACTCTGGGATTGCATACGATGATGTAATAGCCCCTGCAGGTTCATGGGGGGCATTATGACCTCCTGTCTCCACTATCCCTGCCCGAGGGTGGATGTAGTAGTAGTATGCCAACGATGAGCCAACCGTGTAGGCACTGATGGTGCCATAATCCACAAAGAAGCAGACTTCTCTCACCACCAGAGACATGGAGTTGAGCAGGTGTGCCATGCTGCTGGCCATGAGCAGACAGAACACCCCAATATAGTAGTTCCACAACGGATAGAAGAACGGGGCATCACAATGTGGTGCACCTTCCCAACCAAACACCTCTACAAAATAGTATGAAAAAATGAAAACTGGGAGGAAATGCGTCCAGAAGTTGCCTGTTTCATTGGTAGGTCTGAATGCTGAGAGTAAGCAGTCCCTCAGGCTGTAGTTGGGGAAACGGTATCCAGTCAGGATGAAGTTCTCTATGACTCGAGGCGGCACATCTGTGTGCCTCAGCAGAGGTAACGGCTGACCACAGTTCAGGAGCATGATGGCAACACTTTATGTTGCTGACAGCCAAAGACGTCTGAGGATCTGACCTTTCCAGCAGTTTTTATTGCTTGGCTCTTGACTTTATTGCTGATCACAGCATTTGTGATTACTACCATACAATCTGTTGCACATGAGTGTGTAACACATCAAAAACACCAACCCTGTGGACCTTTGATCCCGGCTCCACCTCCAGCCTTGTGAGCTATAGTCTAGTCTAAAGAGCAAAGCTGGTGTATGGGGAAAGTGTGTATCCAAAAGCCTCAGTCCACCTGCTTGATTAATTTTCCTTTTGGTTTCCTTTTTGGCCCCAGTACAGAAGGTCAGCAAAACATCCAGCACACAGCGCTTATCATCTCCCTTATTTTGCATAGGACATTGTCTGCATGGATGATTCTTTGTTCAGTCATATGCACATTCACGTGTCTTGTTATGCATAGCTCTGCAGCAACACAAAATGAAGGTCACTTATTACTGTTACAAGGTTGAACAGCTCGTCAGTTACTGTGTAAGGTGTCCATACAGCAGAGATGACTTAGAGATGCGTCCATTAAGCTCTGTGGTATGTAGGTCATGCTGGCCATGAGCGCTATATCAGGCTAATGCAGGCTTCTAGTCCTCCTGTTGTTCCTGGTCCTGCAGCCTGTATCCACGTCCGATTTTCAGTTCATCCAGCTCCTATTCCGTTGCAATGCACGGCGCAGGGCAGAGAAGAAGAAATCCTCCGGGACGGACGAGAGAACCGTTGTATGAGCCGGTGTTCAGTCCCTTAAGGCAAGGTCATGTTTAAAAGCGGCTTTTTATGACCGGGGATTTCAACAGATATTTCGTGGGTGAGAGCCAGTGCGCTGCCGTGAGAGTTGAGCCCTGAGAGCCTGAAGCCAGCCGGCATTTCAGCGGAACAGTGAGGAGGACGGAGACTGTTTGACAGGTACCAGCGTCAAGTTACACATGCGATATTACCGGGATTCCGGTTTGGAGTTTCAAAATAAAACTCAGCGGTTGTGATGTAACCTTTTAGAGGTCATATGGCTAGTTTGCACATATCAGGAGGACTAGACAACAGCTCTCTCCTTGAGGGTCGCGAGCGGTCCAGATTGGTTAGACAGGGTCATGTCACCTGGTGGTCAGCTTCCACCTATGGGTCAGGAGCATGACCACTGTAGAGGACAGCCCTGTGTTTCATTCAAACCAAACAAACTTATCCCACCTCCCCATCTAACATAAGAAAACAATCTTCCACCACCCTGGTAGTAGCCCCCCCCTCCAAAGATGGATGCTCCCAACTCCCCCACCCCGTGCCCTAAGTAGGCTACCTATTTTCTGTTTTCTACCTAGACCCAAAGAAGGTCTTTTTCGCCTTCTTTTCCCTCCCAGTAACTCTCAGTAACTCTCAATAACTCTCAATAAGTTAAAATATCATAACACTTACAAAAGCTGTCAGTCAGCCATAATGCTGTTGTTATGTCATGTTTTGTCAAGTTATGTTATATTATGTTACGTTATGTTATGTTATGTTATGTTATGTTATGTTATGTTATGTTATGTTATGTTATGTTATGTTATGTTATGTTATGTTATGTTATGTTATGTTATGTTATGTTATGTTATGTTATGTTATGTTATATCACCCTCTTTGTCTTTGTCTTGTCTCACCAAATAAAAAAAAGACTAAGTAGACATAATTAATATTTTCTCTAGGCCCTTGTCAAATTCAAAATTGCTTCATTGGCATGAAGGTTATGCACAGTATTGTCAAAGCAGAATGTATGTTTAGGCTACAACGTAAATATAATGATCCAGAATGTAAGAAACTGTAATTACAGTGTTACTAGATATTGTTGTTACTAAACTATACCAAACAACAAATGAGAAAAGGAAAAAAACTAATGTTGTAAACAAATATGAAAAAATAAACATGATAATATGAGAAAATTCAATGTAATGGTGAGAACCTCTACCATTACAAGAAAAAACATTCAAGTAAAATGAGATCAGATTTTGAAGGGGCACAACTCTGGTTTTCTTCAGGTAAAAATATTTCCTCATTCAATTTTTCAGCATTGAATTAATAATTTCTGTGTTATTATCTCTATATAGAAATAAAATCTAATCCCCATGGCCTTTCATGCCATTTCTAATAAGTAAAATAACAGAGGTCATTTTGGGACCTATAAATGAGGTCATGAGCCATGACAATATATAATATATATGAATACAAATGATACAAAATCGTAGGCTTGAGTAATAAAGTTAGCAGCTAATGGCTGATGCTTGGAAAACATAAATGTGACATCTCCTCAGAAAGAATGAAACTGCCTTTTTTATTTATAGTAAAATGTAAACAGAATTTGCATTCTGAGTAATAATGCCAAAACATTTTTTATGAGTGAGAGAAATATTGTCAGACACATATTCTAACATACTCTCAGACCAATACAGAATTCATCATTTATGTGGGCAAAAACTGACATTACCATAGAGGAGACAACCAGCAGAACAGATGTGAAATTGTACTGAATTTCCTCAAATCCTAGTCCTCTTTTTCATTATTTGATTTGTCATAATAACTATTACATCTCACCTTGAAATATATATTATTCTGTTCAATGTTTATTTATTTCTTTCATGGTAGAATGCCTTAATGTATCCTGCATTAAACTGTACATAGTGTAGTACAATAATATCAAAAATCCTGTTTTTTTACCCCTTGCATTCTAAATTATTACATTCAAACTGTAAACATGTCTTGGCAATACTGTGATTAAAAAGCATATTTGAATTTGAAAAAAAAAACTAAAAAAAAACTGACCCTTTTATTTTGAACGCAAATTCTCTTAGTTTCCGGTCTCGTTCTGGCTCACTGCGTATCTTAAGGCAGTTCAGCGAAATACCGAAGTAACTCAAAGCTTTAATTAGTGAATCATTCATTTTTCTTGCGTGTTTGTTAGTTGTCCCTGGCAGACAGGAAGACAGACAGAACCGTGAAAACGGAAGAACGGCACGAATAAAGACACGCCGTGCTGTGCCGTGCTAACGGTTTTTCCGTTATCTGCTTTAAATGCACAGAGTGTCTCTTTTGAGTAATCGTGTTAGAGCACCAATGTGTCCCCTCCTCCCCTATGTGTCTTTGAATATGTCATGTTTTTACAAAGTGCCTTACCCTGTTGTGCTTTGTTTATTAAACAGACACTGTCGGTTATGTTACAACACAATTCATACACAGCATTTCATAGCATTTTAGTGCATCAGATAACTGCAATAACCTTTCCAATGTGGATACAAACACCAAAATGTGTATGTTTATCCTTCAGGGGCCATTCATTTGAAAAATCCCATTAGCCAGTTGAAATTTTAAAAATTTCAATATGGCCACTGTTTCTGGAATAGGAAACACATGGGCCCATTTTAGCCCCGGAATTAATAATTAATAACCCCCAGGACAGATTTAAATGACTTTGTAATTGAATCTTATGTTTTAGACCATGAGGATGTCAAATTCACAACACTTACATTTCCTCAGAGCTTTATTGGTGTGATTTCTAACATGTAATGTGAAAAATTCTGCATAAAACACAATGTATCTGCAAATCATTTATTATGAATGATGAACCAAAAGTTCAGTAAGAGTCGACAGTTTACTTGTTTACTTGTCTTAACATTAGCTTGCTAGGCTACCTTGCTAGCACTAGGCTGGTTAGCAAGCTTTTTTGTGAGTAATATAGGCCTATAGGCTTTTTTTTGTGTGTGAGTGATATTTTTGCTGAAATATACTTTCATTAAATTTTCACAGTGACTAAATTTCACCCTCTACAATGTTAAAATGTTTTTTTGACACCTGGATTATTCATATTTGAAAATAATGGATGAACTGATTGCAAAAAAAAAACCCAAACATTTCCTTGCCAGAAATGGTGGCCATCTTGAAGTTTCAAGTGGCTTACATGTTTTTAATCAATAAATATTAGAAACTTAAGTTGATTTTCAAGTCAGTTTTTCATTTATTATAATTTACTGATTTATGGCAGCAGTTTTCCATCTACCTTTCTATCTAACTAGGCAGCCATTTTATTGGTAATATTTAAAACAAAACACGTTTATGTTGAATCAAGTTGCCACAAAGATAAATGTGTTGCCAAGGTAACTTATTTTGAAGGATCAGTGTGGCTTAATTTTTCAACATTACATACGGAAGAAACAGTGTTGCTTCCTCTATTATTTCCTGTGTATCAGTAAGCCAGGCCCACAGGCCAGAAACCCTCCATGTCCCCCTTCACCCTCCAGCTCTGACTGCTGTGGCCAGATGTCAGGAAGTCTTTGAAGCAGCAGGATGGGGTGGGGCTGGGTGGAATGGCCATTTTCCAAATCCCCCCGAGGAATAAGAACCAGGCCACACTTCAGTGCACAGCAGAGTAAGACAGAGCTACAACATGCCTTTTGAATCAGTGATTGACAGGCTGTAATGATTTAATGGATGTGGAGCCAGTTCTTATGACATAATGGATGTAAATGGTTGGGTAAATTTACATTACAGCCATACATTACGCTCTGGACACATTACTCTCTGTAGGACATTGTTAGGATGTTCTACAGAGAGGAACATAACAATAGCTGTTAGTGTACATTCTAGGCCAACTGGGAACATTTATGCAATCAGCAAATATTTTTTTGTCTTAATAGTGACTTCCATGAAAAGCTCTCTAGGAGCCTCTTTGAGCACCTTTGGGTCCCTGTCAGGAGCCCCTGGTGTTTCTGTAGACTGTTCAGAGCTGGTTTGGTCTTTAGCACTCTGGCTCTCTAACATGATTATTAAAAGCTCTGCAGCAGCTTTGAGTTAGTCTTCATGTGTAAACAAGACAGAAAGACTTGTCACACTCCAGACAAATATGCAGCAAGTCAGTCACTTGACTGGTCATGTTTTTGCAGAGGAGAAAATGCTGCCTTCAAATATTCATGTCCTCCAGCAATGAAACGAGTGAACCTCATCCTCCCCCTTTTTATTTCATGACAGTAGGATATTCTCTTTCTGGGCAGCCCCCTCCCTCCCTGACAGTTGAGGTCATGTATGATCAGACTGGACACTGGATTCAATGACAGGCTGCAGGTGCTGAATGTTTGCTGAAGGCCTGTACATGAGGTGGAAGTTGAAGCCATTGCAATACATTAGAGGACATGATGGAAAAAGGAAGAGCAGGACAGAATTGCATGAGTAAACTGTAACAGAGATCACAGAAAACTTTTCAAAAGTGAGGGCAGTCACTGACTGATAACTACAGCACTGCAGTAACGTGCAGCACAGTCACAACATGCCCAAGTTAACAGGAACTTTCCGTCTGGTGAATCATAGAGTTTATATGGTAGAAGACAGTTCTTCAGTGCTGCAATCTTCCTTGAACAAAAAATATAAATCTACACTTCTTATTAGCTTGAATTGGATTAAAAAATATGTGGAGACACTTAAACCAGAGGCTGGGTAACGTTCTGCTTTTCTGGGCAAACTTAAGCATGTTTCTGAAGCCTGTTTGACATCTGTCACTGGTCTGTATCATGGAATCTGCTTTCATTTTAACCGATGCGTCAGTCCACACTGACACTGAGATGTACAATGTTTCTGAACACCATGGGTCATGAGTCAGTCGATTGAACAGATGGACATTAAAGTATTACTTACAGACAGCTGTAGGCCTCTGATTCATCTTCACCCAACTCTAAACAGTCAAGTTTTAAGTTAAAAATATACACAATAACAAAGACAGTGTTGGGTGACGTCATGAAATAGCGTGGGATCATGGGAGTTGTTGTCTTCACCACCATTACCGTAAGCTCCTCCCGGTTTGGATTCCTTCAGTGTCAGTGGGTCAGGAAATCAAACAGCCCTGGTGATTCTAACCATTAAAAACACTGAATGAAGCAGTTTGACATTTAAAGTCAGTGTTTGAGCGACGCTGTACGGAGGACAGAGACTCAGGGAAGAGTTGGAGCTGAGATTGATGCTGACCTTTGTTCTGATTGTTTCTCTGATAACTTATGAACCAGACGTTCATCAGGTCTTTACCAGCAGCTGAATTATCCACAGAGGTGTCCTCCTCTCCATAACAAACACACCAGGGGATTCAAACCAGTAGAAACACCCAGAAAACAGTTTGACTTTAAAACTCAAAGATTCAGCGACGCTCTTCAGTGACACAGGACAGGACGTCTCCAGCAGCTGGGAGCTGAGCTGTCTAACATTTCCTCAGCTTGTTTCTCTGATAACTTCAGATCCAGACGTCCGACGACTAAAATCCTTCATCTGGTTCAAATATAGAGTGAAAACCACCAAGGTGTAAAAAGTGTATGTGGCTTAAAACTAGATAAAAGTCAATGATGACACATGATCATAGAGGATTTGATGTCATTGACAGACAACCAATGACATGTATTATTACCATTGTTAAAATCACAGATATCTCTGGATGAGAACTGATAGAAACATTTGGGAAAATGTAAGAACACAACTCAACAACATATACAACATAGGCCTAGTTGTTTTTAGACATTTTACTGTGCAAAATTTACAGATTATAACTTAAAGTAAATATGAAATGTTTTATCAGCTGAGGAAGCAGAAACAACGTTCATGTTCAAAACCTGCAGCTAAACCAAGAACAAGAACAGAATAACAAGATCCAGTATGAAATGATGACTAAATATATATTTGACACACTGATGTATTGTTGTCTAACTGTCACATATTTTTTTCTCACTGTAGGTCCAATACAGAACTCTTAAGCTTCAAATATTGATATGATCTGCATTAGAGTTAAACTGGGGATTTCCCCTGTAAGTGATGAAGAGTCACCACTCTGTTGCTGTTGTTGAGCTATAAAAGCACACTGTGTCTTTGTGTGAATGTATTTACTAGACAACAGCCCAGAGTCATTTTGGCCATTTAAGAATTTATATGAATTATCTACAGCTGATCTAATCTGCTGCCAGTGACGTTTGTTGTTTTACCCAGTGAAAGCAGCAGCTAACCCAAATTGTAATACAAAATAATAATGTCAGGATAGGATTTAAACCTCCTCACCATGGCAGTCATGTAGTCTCCTTCATTGATGTGGAGTGGGCAGTGGGAGGTGTAGATGGGTGGTGGGGAGACAGTGCCCCTGTGGTCTTGTTCATCACCCCCTGACTAGAACCCTCAGAAGCTGGCATGGATACACAAGGGGGCACAGTCAGTCACAGCTGAAGAGGTCAATCATAGTTTTAACTGAGTGTTAGCCTGTTAGACTGATAGTAACATCATAAACTAAAATAAGTTGTTAAAGTTAAACCTACAGCAGATCTCTTTCTGAGATTGAGGTCATTAGATCAATATCAGACTCGTTACAGAGCTGGAGTAAGGATGTCATTAGCCTAGCTTAGCATTACCAACACCTGTAAAGCTAACTGTGTGTGTGTGTGTGTGTGTGTGTGTGTGTGTGTGTGTGTGTGTGTGTGTGTGTGTGTGTGTGTGTGTGTGTGTGTGTGTGTGTGTGTGTGAGGAAAACAAGCTTGAAACCTGTGAATGAACACACCCAGACAGAAGCTGTCGGCTTACCTCCCACCATTCAACAGTAGACGACAGACTTTTACTTCATGCACACACACACACACACACACACACACACACAGACCTCTCCATTCATAGTACTGTTGTCTGAGGGGAAGATATAGACATAGTACAACAGGTTATTTCACAACAACTCTTGACATAACCTCCAGGTCATCCTGTTCTTCAGTTCACATACACTGTACATTCAGAGAGTGCATCACTAGGCTCTAATGCTCCAATAGTTTTTGAACAAGAAGTGTTTGTTTGTTTCAGTACAATTTAAAACCAGCTGTTGTTCTCACATTTAAAATAACCACACCAGATATTTGACCTAAAACAAGCCAACTGCTGCACTCCACCCCTATGAGGCCATGTTAATGTACATGTTAACATGCTCACAACGACAATGCAACATTTAACAACCATTATGTATTAAGCTCAACATGGAACATTGAGAGTAGCACTATATGGTAAACGTTGGCATGCTAAACTCTATGCTTGTTAGTATGCTAAAATCTGTGTTAGCATGCTAACATTTGCATATTAGCACTAGACAGGAAGTGATTCATTTGTTGCATGCACCAGAGGATGGTCTGTGAAATGTAAAACTGTGAAGGTGTCACAACTCATGTGGTGCTGAAATGTTTTTATTTTTAAAGTTTATATAAAAACCTGTGATATCTTGCACTTGAAATGTTGCTGTTATTGTCTGTGAAATATTCATGGATGTACATGTGCTAGGGTTGGTCATTTGATTAAATATACCATAGAGTACACCAACCATCAGATATTCTTACATTTTATGTTTAAGTGTATGAGGCAACTGTTGGTAATGCTGTGTAAATTAATAAGGTAAACATGGATTTATGTTGGATTCATTTCTTAGCTGACTTTCTGTAAAATTTACCATCATCAAATAAAATTATATGTGACCATATTACAGGAGAAAAGTTTCTGTACTTCTGTAAATAATTTATATTTGATACATGTTTTTATGTTTTCTTCTGCACACTTATGGAATCCCCTGCATTAATGTTATTAATTTCTAATTTTTTATCATTTCTGATAGTGCAGCAGATAACTGCAATAATCTTCAAATGTGGATACAAACACCAAAATTGGTATGTTTATCCCTCTGGAGCCATTCATTTGAAAAGTCCCACTAGCCACTTGAAATTTCAAATTTTCAGTTTCTAGTTTCGGAAACACATTTTACCACAGAATTTAACCCATGGGACAGATTTCAATGATGTTTTAATTGAATCTTATTTTTTAGACCATGAGGATGTCAAATTCACAACACTTACATTTCCTCAGAGCTTCATTGGTGTCATTTCTAATATGTAATGTAAAAAATGGTTGATGGCTCATCATTCATTTATAATAAATGATGAAACAAAAGTTCAGTAAGAGTCGACAATTAACTTGTCTTAACATAAGCTCGCTAGTCTAACTTGCTAGTGTCAGGCTGGTTAGCAAAGGTTTTTGTGAGTAACATTTTTGCTGAAATATACTTTCATTTCATATTTTACAGTGTACCTAATTCACCTTCTACATTGTTAAAATGTTTAATTCGACACCACAAAAAATAACATTTCCTTGTCAGAAATGGCAGTCATCTTGAATTTTTGAGTGCCTAACATGTAAAGAGTAATACCCAAGGAGGATTTTTGTCTAATTTAGCACTTGTATCCACATTTGAAAGATTACCCTGCGCTATAATACATGCAATACACTATTATTACTATTACTATGTCACTTAATTGACAGAATTTTTTTAGTATTAGCACTTACAAACCACAGGATAGAGAGGAGATGTCTCTGTACTGGTATGTGCCTCTACCTGGTGCATAGCTGAACAGCAGCTCTGCCAGCTGGGCCTCAGGGTTCATGTAACTGGCCTGTTTGGCACACCAGTGCTCATGCTCACAATCTGCTGGGAAACGCTTGATTTCACAGTAAAAGACTGCTTTGCACTGGGCACTGTGGGGAGACACAGAGACATGCATTTAAAGGCAGAGACAGGAGGGAGTGTGGGGTGGGGGGAGGCACAGAAAGAACATCCAGTACCAAAGCAGGGAGTCGAGCACAAGCAGAGGAAGGAATTGAGATAACAAAGTAGAGAGAGGAAAACTGATGTGAAAACACTGTGGCATTAAAAAGAGAGAGCAGAGAAGTTACTATAAGAACAAATCACATGATGAGAGGTTAGCATGTGTCATCAGGAAGGAAACAATGCATGGAAATAACTAATATTTCACAATAAAGACAGACCACATGTACACATAGTTCCCCAAAGTCAAACAGTTTCTGAAGTGGAAGTCCCTGAGACTACTGATGAATCAGTTAGTTATCTCCCACATGCACCTGTTAAGTAAGACCACAGAACATTTGGCTGCTCCACAGCAAAGTAGTGACAGCTGATGACAGTTTGGACAGACCTCTAAGAAACTGCAGCGCAGTAAATACAAGTGTTAGACAGAGCTGATCCAGAACTGACCAAAACGCTGATGGCATGAAACTCTGTATTGTAGAACTGAAAGTGCTGATCTGCATTTATGCACAACAAACTTCTTTAAAACATACTTAACATTATCCAGAACATATGATGATATGTAGAACTCTGCATATTTTTCCACCTATGTTATATGACATGATGGGTTAGGGTTGGTTTACCCAGTTTACCCATCATGGGAGGTTCCACTCTGCCACTGAAAACAGCTGTATAATATCTTATGTGGTTGTGACGAGCTTTCTAAAGTCTGAGAAAATGCTTCCAAGTTGCATTATGGGAAATGTAGGAGTCATTATTTTTGGAGATTGACCCATATTAAGCACTGAAAGTTGTATCTTATGCATACATGTTTTGGCATGTGCTGGTGCAGCCTAACAAGAGGAAAAGTCAGTCAGAAGTAGTGTGTCGGTATCAGTTCAGATACTTTTTATTGTTGCTTGTTTAGGTTAGTTATTTATTTATACTTTTTCTAATGTACTTTATTTTATTCATCTTTCAATGCAGTAATATGTTTAAATCTCCTATAATTCAACTCACAGAGGAGGTCATGTTGCCTGTATTTTCTCAGGGAGTTTTTTAAACCACTTAGGAGTTAACCTTTTCTAATTAAAAACATACAAGTGGTGCATATTTTATAAGCAGATTGCAGTATTTTTAGATTCAAAATATTTAAGAGAGATCACTTTTAGACCAACACAATGAGTAAAGAGAAAAGAATCATTTGAAACTGCATTGAAACTTTCATGGGAAATAAAATTTACAGAAAATTTGACTGACAAGTCTAGTTAAGCAGTCTCACAGACTGAGAGGGTTGGGGGGTAAGTTGGTTGTCCAGGGGAACATTTTGTTCAGCACAGCACTGACAAAGCCTCAGTCTGAGACAAAAGGTCAAAGAAACAGGAGACAAGCAGAGAAAACATCAGAAAAACCACCTCACAGATCCACTCACAGCACCCCATATCCACAGGTCCTATTTACACTCTGTTGATGAATGTAAATCTGAGTTTTAAAACTGAAGCTTGGGGAAAATTTGGACTTGATTGAGCCAAATATATCCAAATGAAACAGCCTCATGAATTGCCACTGACTGCAGTCCAAAATATCCTCTTATATGAGTCTACTGCTAATGCAGGTCTATTCACCTCGCGGCCCACGGGCTGTAACAGTGTCTGCTGACAAAGTGTTCCAAACTTTCAAATATAATTTGCTCTGTGTGTGTGGCATCAAATTCATAGGCAAGTTCAGTTCATCTTGAACTTTTTCATCCTCTTTGCTCTCTTCTGTTGTTTGCCTCTTTTTGTCACTTAATAAATTATTTTTTATTATTTTTCATGCTATATTGACATTTTTGGTGGGACCAGCCTTAGGCCAGAGCTACATCTACAAATGACTTTTCGCTCTCTCATCTCTCATGGAACCACAAATTCAATTTCAATTTAGTTTTTTCAATAATGGGGTCAAAATTGTGTTTGTAGGTATTGTCCCAGGTATGTCAGCTTTCCAAAGAACGATCTGAGTATGACAATGTTAAGTCTTTCTGCTGTACCTTACATTAACTTCACACAGCTGGAACAGCCATTATATAATGTCTGAAATGTATTTTTTTAAGTGTTATTTCAAAACCAAAAAAGGAAACCTTCCACAAACATCTCTAAAGTCGTTGTTTATTTAGTTTGTATTCATTGAAATATTGTCTAAGAAAGATTCAATATGAGAAGATGCACAGGGATCATTAGTTACCATTGCCATTAATCATTAATTTACTTATTGTTGCAAATTAAGAATTTCTCTTTTCTAACCCCCCAAAATAGTTTAGTTTATTTTTCTCATCTTGTTTGAACCATTAACATCTTGATCTAATAAAGGCCCCTCTAGTTTTCTCCTCATAAATATTGTCTAACTGACCTTGTAGCAAATTCATATTCAGTTCATTTCCTAATCATTTCCAAATTTAAAATTGTTTTATTGCTTTAATGATTTTAGTTTCTTTATCCCTTTTTTTTTAAAATAGCAACCCTTGTGATTTCAATATTTATCAATAACAACAACAAAACTTTCCAAACCAAAAATGTCAATTAGGTCTGAATTGTGGTGAAATGTATAGAAAATGATGCACATGAAATGAAGAATATTTCCATTTTTAATTTGATAGCACAGTTGTGTAAAACATGGTGTTTGGATTTGAATATGATGAGTAAAGTGTAGCTTCAAATACACGTTAGAAAAAGCAGCTACAGAACAGACGATGTGTATGATGTTGACAATATTATACTAAAGGGAAAGGGATGAAAAGGCTCGTTTACTCTATTGTCTGATGACAGTATTTGACTTTTTCGCCATGAGTGTGTGTTTCCTGGATGAATCCTCTTTTCTCTTCCTGCTGCTGTGACTGCTCTGATGCAGCCTGTAGGTCTTTCTAGCCTGGACTCGTTCCTTCTCCAGGACCTCTGTGTCATCCAGAATCTCCAGACCTGGGATTTGACTGATGACGTACTGTCTAAGAAGGCAAGAGGAAAAACACTGTGAGCCAGATGTGTAGTATGCAGATTGACTTTATCATAGATACTGTGGATTCAGCAGATTGGCAAGAATAAAAAACTTGAAAAGGAAGCACTTAACAGAATGAGAGATAACCAGCAGCCTGATCATCACTGTGTGCTTAAACTAATGAGCCACATGGGGGCGCCATTGTTCAAGTTAAAAAACTTAGAAAGGCCATAACCGCCGCACCAGTGGTTCCATTTAGCTGGAGCTTCGACATTTCAGATGAACAACCTCTGTCATACAACATCTGCATTTTCATTCTTTAACATTCTAATGTAGGACAATTCAAGATTTTGAGAAATACTGATACTGAAACAGGATTACAACAAGACTAAAATACAACCCCAACCCCTGTGACAGCAAAATAGTAAAATTACTAAACCACACTTCTTGGATTGTTCATTTGTGTATTTATTTTATTTACATTTTGTTTTCCAACATGATGAGCTAAATGCTTGATTCTGCATGTGAAGAAATGGATTTAATCATTTGCTTATTTATCTGTTCATTTTTACTGACCTAAAAGCAGTCAGCTTTATCTAATAATTCCAGAAACACTTAAATCAGGCTTTTAAATATTCACATTTTAATTGTAAAAGGTTGTTAAAATCACTGAATTCCAAGAAAACACGGCTCTGCTCATAAGCGGTTACAGCAGAAAGTACAGTCCAATCAGTTAAATAGTAGAGCAAAAATACAGAGAGCCTTGTCTATGTTCTCATGAAAGGTGAAAGGTTGGACCTCGGTGCTCACCTATAGTCTTTGTACTGGGTCAGACTACCCCCATTGAAATAGCTAGGTGCTGCGTCATTGTTCATCATACTGAGGATCCTGTTTTAAAAGGAAAAGAGAAGTGAGAGAGAAGTGTAAAAACAGCAACACTAACGACAGACCCGCTCTACAAACGACACACACAACCCCAGACTCACTTGATACTCGGGAACTTTCGCCGGATTTCTTCCACAAAAACAGGTAGATTGTTGATTTTGTTCTTGTTGATGCACACAGTGGTCACACTGGGCATGTAGGGGAACTTCACGTGAGACGTGTAGTTGTTACAGTCTAGAATCAGAGTGCTGAGCTTTTCCAGCTGACCCAGCAGAGCCGGGTTCCAATAAAGACTGAATGAAGGAGAACACACTGAACTACAGCAGCTGTGGCTTAATATGAATTATAATGCCTGTTTATTTGTGTGATCAATGGAAAATCCACCTACAGTATTTTGAGAGATGTGGTCAATAAAAAACGGAGGTTAATTTATGTCTGATTTACAAAATGGGTCATTCTTATTCTGCAAATTTGAGTCTGAGTCTGAGCCTCATACACAAATGTAATATATGTACATATGAAATAAAACCATATATATCAGAATCAATTATAAAACCTTTTAGAAATTTGAACAATTATATACTGACATGTCTGAGTAGCCCATACAAACATGTTTGTTTTCTATGTATGCTAATATTGTAGACATATGTTATGTAAATATATCCATCCCAAAGCCTGTCAGTATGTTGATACTATATACAGTAGGGTCCAAAAGTTTGAGAAAAAAAATTAATATTAATAAGAAAAACATATATAAGCATGTAGAATTAGGTTTTTTTACACTACAGTACCAGTCAACAATTTGGATACAATGGGAAAGTGTATCCAAACTTTTGACTGGTATATATATTTTGTTTTAATAAACGTGCATATATAAATTAAATATATACTGTTAATATACTGTATGTGCTTGCAACATGTTATACCATATCAAAAATTCATATATATTATTGTCAAAGGTGTGGTACTGTATATATTAATCTTACTATGGGTATTTCATTTATGTTATAAACGTATACCTTCATATATCCAGAGGATGTATATACTGTATGTGATAGTAATAAATTGCCATATAGGTGACATGGAAACATCTCTCTTAATATATGGGCCTATATGTCTTATATTACATTTCTGTATGGGAGGCCACAGACAAGTAGCAGCATTTTTGGTCTTTAAAGCTGCACTAATCAATGTTTTTTACAGTAACAATGGCTCAAAAGACTGTGTCTAATGTAAATGAGAAAAAAAAACAAAGAATTATCATCTAACTCTGCAGTGTCCCTTAGTGCTCTAGCGTGGTTCAGAAACCTGTTTTGGTCCGCTTTCATGGTTCTCATTAACCTCATTTCCAGTAGCAGCCGGTTGCTGTTTTCAGAAAAATCCCTCTGATGAACCCACCACACGACCTGCGCAGCAACAAACAGCAGACAGACTCGGTCAGAGAGCAGCTGGTGAACATCGTTGAGCATTCAGCAGCTAAAGAGGAGCTGGTGAAGACCAAACAAAGAGTAAAAGAGAGGGAACGCTGGAGAGTCATCAGCTGGACACTGACTGGTGATAGCTGTCTGTGTATTTGTCACTACCAGCAGCAACTTTCACATTACACATAGTCACTTCATTTATTGTAGTATAAAAATATTGACTTGTGCAGCTTTAATTTGTACTTCTCTTTTAGATAACCTAAGTTTTGAACCTAAGCTTCTGTTGGATTGCCTATGTTGCAGGGTGCAGACTTTATATGGCAGAGATTGGCTGTTGTAGTTGGTCCTTCAGATTGTGGTTAGTAAGAAAAGGATACTCATCCAGCAGATTGTAACTCAGGTCCAGCACCTCCAGAGTGTCTGTCTGTGCGAGGATAGTTTCATAAGGGATTTCTCTCAGGCCCTGGTAGGCGAAAGAAAGCCACTGGAAACTAGAGACGTGGTTGGATTGACTGTGATGATCCATGACAAAGAGCCCAGCACTGTATTCTCTTCAGCTCCTCTCCACTTGTAGTGATGAAGATTAGGAGAGAAGTCAGATGATTATGCCATGATCAAACCTTGAATAAACAACAACAAAACAAATGTGTTAAAGACATTATGCCACAGGAAGGACTCCGAAAGCTTTCCTTGATTATTATTTTCACTAAAACACCATGACTTGAAGAGAAATGACAAATTACACAACACCTGCACAACAATATGATTTTACTAACATTCATTTACTGGAATTTTCCCTAGAGGATAAAAACAGTATCTATCTATCTATCTATCTATCTATCTATCTATCTATCTATCTATCTATCTATCTATCTATATTTATCTATCTATTTGACACCAGTCCCATACAATAGCCTTGAAAAATATAACTCCTTTGTCAGGCAAATAATTTTAACATTATTGCCCAGCTCTTCCAGCTCTATGTGGACTAATACTGAATATGTCATCTGCTATTAAGGTAGAAAAATATGAAAAAATGGTCATAATTGGTCATAATATAAAATCAATCTCATGTCTGTGCGCTAAGTATGAAGCTGGAGGTGATTAGCCTAGCTTAGCATAAAGACAGGAAGCAGGGGGAAGCAGCTAGCTTGGCTTTGTCCAAAAACAGGACTGACTGGGGATGGCTATAACATTGGTCAGTTATAAATCTTCTAATTTCTCCAATCAGGAACAAGTTAGGAACCACCTGATTCACTCTATACCTGCTCAGTTTAGTCCTTATTCCACATGTGAGGAAGTAGCTTGCTGTGTCAGACAGTCTATTTTAGAAGGAAAAAACTCATTTTGAGTTGAAAGTTGTTGTTTTTTTTGTTTTTTTTTTAAACTTTGTTTATTTTTGTGATGTGATAGTTAGTAGTTGTTGAAGCTGGTGAACATTTACACATTTTGTTGAGTTTTATCTTTATGTTGCAATGATTTATCACCACTATGACTGACAGTAGTCTGACAGTATGTCATAATGTCACATTTTCACCCCAGGATATGCTACACTAACCTGGATGATGAGGTGAATTGTAACATTTTACTCCTTGAGTTTGAGACTAATCCACAGACATGGCAGAGATAACACCTACACCATTGAACAGCAAACACATGGAACTAACTTGTTTCACATTTTGAACACACTAGCTTAAAAGATACAGACAGAAATGTCAAAAATGTTACAACCATCCCCGGTCTGTACCAACGCCTCTAAAGCTGACTGATTAACACGCATCGCATTTGTTAAATTTGTACAAGAACAGAAATGAAAATTTCAACTAGTGTACAAATCACATTTCACACAGACAGTAGAGTGAGGGTTACCTGATTCCCTGGTTAGCCATCTGACACAATGACATGACTTCAATATAAGATAAATTACATTTAAAAAAAATCTCTTTCCATTAAAAACAGCCCATAAATGAAAGAGGCTCTTCACAGCCAGAGGCCATAACATGCTGACCTCCTGATTTGTTATGTCACCTGAAAGGTGACATAACAAATTTTGAAATCTTGTTCTGGATTTAACACTGAGAAGCACTGATATTAAGATTAACATGACTCAAAATAAGATTACTCTGTGTGTTGGGAATACACTAAAGAAACTGAGTGATAGATTTTGACAGTGTTTTCTACCACCCATGCCTCCTGATGATAAACTGTACAGTGAGCTGCTGCTAATGCTCTAAACAATCTACCTACGAAGGATTCTGTTCCATTCAACACTGGTGATGAGTTATCAGTCAAAAGCTTTAAAGACGTTCCCCTTGACGACTGATGCTCTAGATGCTGCAAGAACTTTTTTACTATACTACAAATACTATCAACAATAACAAAGTCAACAAATATTTCAAATTTCCTGGGACTACTGTCAAACACTCAAATATAGATGCATCACATACAAGTGTATGTGTTCAGTTTCAGTTGGACTCACCGAGCTGTAGAGGAGATGGTTTATCCTTTCAGTGCATGCAAACCTCTGAGAACTGCTTACAGCTCATATAAAAAGCCTCCTTTCATACCCCAGCTGTAGATCACATGATGGGGATAATCACATTGCTGCTTAACCTTGTGGTTTTGCAGGACCCACTGGCCCAGATCTAAATAACTTCGATAGTGTTGAATTCTAAAAACACTGGAAAACAACATCTTATAAGTGTGGCTTAAAACTAATGAGGAAATGTTAACATGAAATGTACTAGAGGAAAGTTGTTTTACTGATCAGACACAATGGCTTAATGTTCACAATGACATTCATGTATGATCACTTACAGTGCAGCTGTATCTGTGGTCTGACATCAAGCTGTGGGAATTCTCATGAACACTGGTTTGATTCTCCTTGCAAATACTTTATGGATAATTTATATAAATTATTAATAACACTGAATGAACAAAAATTAATGAACGCATTATGCAAAATATTCCATCAGCTTCATTTACACAGATTATCTGGAGGTTTATTATGATGTTTTTTTTCTGTTTACAAGTCCAAATAAACATGTTTATGCTGACCTTGACTGTGAATGTTTCCTTTTGCCCCCAAATTCCCAACAAGTCCAGTGTACACAGACATGGCTCTTTCATTATGTTTTTGCTTGTCCACATAGAAACCAAAAACTGCTCCTCTGCCAGAATAGCATGTGTCAGTTGGTTTGTGGTAATTTGATTAATCACAAATTCATTTAGGAATATGTACAGGGTAAGAAAAACATAAATTAAGATAACTCAGTTTGGACACAGGACGACTTCAATAACATTGCAGGAAATTAAAACTAAATGACCTACACCACAAACCAACTGACAATCAGTGAACCCTGGGACTTGGTGATCCAACCCTGGTTCTGTCTAAAATAAGTAAAAGACACTAAATACATTTTTAAAAATCTCTTGCGAGCTTTACATATATAACAATACTTTCAGTGGCTAATTAGAATAAATGCTGTGTAAACAATGTCACTTAGTGTAGAAGGTTATTTTTCAGGCACAATAATTGTCACAAAGTTCATTATAAGTCATAGAAACTGTTCCAGCAAAGTTCCCACTGATCCTTGTTGGAGAGTTGTCTTATTGTGCAGTGTAGACGTCCTGAGGATGAGTCAACTCTTCTGAAACAGCACAGTGAGGGGTTGGTGGCTGTGATACCGTACACAAAGTCAAATTCAAGTCTTGACTGAACACACAAAGTGGTGACCTCTGCCGGCTTTACAGTCCCTTATCTGCCACTTTGCCCTTCTCCACACCAGGACACAGTTTTTGCTTCCCCTCTTTTTTGACTGAAGGGGAGTCTTCTTCCAGTTGGTGTAGCTGACTGGCTCACCGCCCACCCACTCCCAGTGTCCCTGGCCTTCTCTGTCATTCAGACCTTTTACAGTATAGGAGAAAAAAAGTCAGTCAGTGTAAACAAGCTGTAATCTACAATGGAAAAATATATTTATTGATGTAATTCATGAAACTTTCAGTCCTACTGCATTGTGCAAAATATTGAACACCATCTATTCCATGTTGACAGAGAACAAGTTAATAAAACAAAATGTAATTCTTTAATTACTACTCATACTTTTCCTAACCCAACCTATCCCAAGAGTCATTGTGCATATATGTGTATATATTTCATTTAAATATGCAAGTTTATTAAAACAACATACAGTAGGCCTACCAGTCAAAAGTTTGGAAACACTTTCCAATTGTGTCCAAAACTTTGACTGGTACTGTAGTGTAAAAAAAAATCTAATGGTATGTGCTTATATATGTCTTTTTTTACTAATCTTTTTTTCTTAGACTTTTGGACCCTACTGTATATAGTATCAACATATATTTACAGGCTTTGGGATGGATATGTTTACATAACATACATATGTCTAGAATATAAGCATACACAGATAAACATACATATTTGTATGGGCTAGACATATATGTCTAATAAACTTAATATATAATTTTTACATATATTGTTTTATTTTTTATACACATATATTTCTTGTACGGAAATTCAATTTATAGACATATATTACATCTGCATATGGGTGGAGGAGTGCCCCTTTAATATAATCTATACATTTTTAACAGTTTAAACATCAGGAATGCCATTGCAACAAATCAGTAAAAAAATACCCACCTATCCAGAATGGTTTTCTTCCGCTGAAGTCCCACAGCCAGTCCATGTCAACTTTAGAGAGAACACTTGCAAGAGTTCCTTTATATCTGAAATAAAAAAGAGAAAAATGAAATCTGTGTTTTCTTTTGGAGGGGGTAGTTTATAGAGCATATCAATTAGATTATACAGCTCTTGTGTGTGACAGGCAGCTAATCCGAAGAATGTATGCCCATGCTTTCTGTCTCACAATTTCTCTCTATGTCTGTTTATCCTTTAACAAAGACATTGTGTGAGTTTACAATGTTGAAGTGTACCTCTCCCTGCAGGCTCTGTTGGCTGTGCTCCAGGTGGCTTTGTGCTCAGTGCTGAGGATGTAACAGTGGCCACCATGAAAGGTCCAGCCCCGTGGACACATCTGAGCACTCACCATCTGTGTTTGAAGAACAAATGTGCAAACATATCAACATTTTAGGTGAACATAAATAATTCTAAATGAAAATGTTATGAAATAATTTTAAGAGGAAAGAAAAAAAACACTAAAAAAGTAACATCTATCAATCTCTGTGGAGTTCTGCAAGGTTCTATCCTGGATCTGCTACTTTTCAGTCCTTATGTATAATAACACTAAGGGTCATCATTCATAAGCACAGTGCTGATTTTAATCATCATGCAGATGACACCCTATTCTATATAGCTGTTGATCCTGATGCTCTGAGCCCCCCATTTACTCCCTTGAAAACTGTATCTCACATTAATTGATGGGTTCCATCTGGATTAGGATTAACCAGATATCAATGTTATTGGTCCATAATAGCAAAGAGAAATTTGCAATTTACTTTTCTATCTTGGCAAATTTCGTATCAAGCAAAGAAGTCTGTGTATGCTTGTATTACAGGTAGGTTTCCCTGTGTCGTGAAGCTGGAATACCTGATCAGTTGGCGCCCAGGGTTTCCAGGAGACACCATTGCAGTGAAAGAGCTGGTTGGTTGTTTGGTTGAAATGCAGGAGTCCCATCATTTCTGGCACACAGGGCTTGGGGATGGCATTATTAGCTGCAGCCTATCGACCACAAAAATTGTGGAAAGTGTGGAATGACCAATATGCACAATATTTATGAAACAAAGTCAAACATTTTCTAATGGATGGTAGAAAGTGCCCATATTGGTATGGATACAATTAAATTGAGATCTTGGCAAATGAGACTCGAGCACATTTTCCAAGAAGCAGAAAACAAACTGACATTTGTACTCACACGTGCGTTGGCCAGTCCAGTTCTTTGAGATTTTGAGATCTTTCTTTGAGGATCCAGTCTTAATTTAGTACGCACTGCTGACACCTGTTGCTGTCCCCCTCTGCTGACCACACGGATGTTTGCTTTTCTGCCCTTCCTGGATGGGGAGGTGTCATCTTCTACTTGAACCTGCATGATACCGTGATACTGGAATCAAAAAGACAAAAGAAATTAGGGATTTTCTGACTTTGAAAGGTTAGGTCAGGTTGGTATCTGCTGTTACTGCTGCTTACCGTGTAAATAACTTCTGTCCCATTGTGAAGAACTGATGAAGGTGCAATCTGAAAGTTGAAACAGTTTATAGAAATTTTTAAATGGAACAACGCCACAACAAATAATGACAAATGCCAGCTTGAATAAAGTCACTTGCAGTGCTGAAATTTAAGTGTAGGTACTCACAGACTTTGGATTGCCCATAACTCTGAGTTTCTTTTTCGGGGGCCTGGAGATGCTGTCTCCACGGGTCCAGATACCTGATTCAGTGCCTAAGGGAAGTTTCTCTAGTTGAATGGATCCATGCTGGGGGTACTTGTCTGACCTAATCTCTTTTCCTCCAAGGACAGGAGCCTTCTGAGCCTCCTGTTTAAGCCTGCACTGACCTGTGGTGTTAAAGATTTTACCGCCATGTTACTATCTTTGGGCATATATTGATTACCTGAGTTCTTAATCAGATTCACTGGCACCATCTTTTGAAAAATGTCACTGTAACAAAAATACATTACTCTAGGACCTCAGAAAGACACAGCTGGGGTTTATTTTTACCTCTTCCAGCGTCCCTGATGGTGACTTGAGCCCCACTGATGCTGCCAATTATTGTGCCTTCCGGGGAGACCAGCACCACTTCAAACATTTCTTCAGCCTCCTCAAGGTGATCCTGAATAATGTCTATGTGCCAGCTCCTCTTTGATACTCCTACACAGAGACAAACATCACAAGACTTGGTACAGCTCTGATTTATTGTGACTTTTCCAGGTTGGTACCTTTTATGTTGCAAGACGCTGTAAATTACTGAAATGAACTATAGTTGTTGTAGTGGCACAACAGTAGCAATAGCAATTTTAGTGGCAGCATTTTTTACAATATGACAGTACGACAATGGTATTCCTCTCAGAGGGTCAATAGAGCATTTTTAGGGCCACTGTAAGAAAAAATAATAATGGTTTGTGAAGAAAAGTTGAAATTATGAGAAAAAAGTTATTGTATTACAAGAAAAAGGTTGAGAGTATCTGTATATTACAATATAATTGGGATCAACTACAACAAGCACTTTTTTTATATTGCACATGTACAGAACAGCCTTTTTATTATTATATTCTTATTTTATTTCTTATTACATTTTCCCCTTGCACTGTCATTCTTTTGAGCTGCTGTGTCAAATTTGAATTTCCTCTATGGGGGATCAATAAAAGTACACTTTACCTTAAAACTGTATTGAGTAGATTTGATCACATGTACATGTTTTAGCATCTCCTGACACTCTATATACAGTATACTTTACACATATTATTTTTCCTTGGAAAATATAAGAAGCTTAGATGTTTACCATTTCAAACTCAGTGAAGAGGCTGTGTGGTGCAATTTAACAGAAGTGGGGAAGTTAACGTTTTTGAGATTCTGTGTTTTCAACAGGCATGCATTGGTTTTACAAGTGAAAGGGCTTTAAGAAATAGGATGAGTGGTATAATGTTTTCCTGTGTTTTATTTGAAGTGTTGATCCATAAGAAGATGTATTTGTGGTTTTAAGAACCAACAACCATCTCAGTGTACTTCAACATTTCCTCTCTCAGGCTTCTCTCTGGAACTCTAGTAACAACAGGTTGGTGAGCCAATCAGAAGAGAGCCTCCTCTCCATCAGAATGCTCCAGAAGTCCTGATGGCTGGTTTTAAGGCTCAGTTTCTGAATACAGGCTGTGTGCATTTCTCTGTGGACTGGGCGCTTTGATACTTTCACAGTATTAATATAGAACCTAGACCTGCTTTATAATCAAACAACACATTGACATCTACCTTTAGACTATATGGACCTTTAAGTTTAGCTAACTTCCCCGCCTCAAGTGAAAAGCAGTGTCCAACTGCTTCCTTAACCTTTCTGTGGAGAGCACCAAACATCTCCTGTGTGACTCAGATGGAATGGGGCATTAGCAAAATACTAGTTGAGAATTAACATTCACTCAAAAAGCAGCATAATGATGTTGATTTCCATATCAATGAGCACATACCTGGATCAAACTGAATGAGAGAAGAAGGGCTCATGAAGAAATCTTTTCCAGCCATTGCAGTCACCTCCTTCACCTAAATAAAGAAAAAATCTGTTTGAGGGCCAAGAATAAGGTAACAATAACAAATCCAAATCTCGTAAAGCATAAAGCAGTACTGAAAACCTTTATTAAGCCAACAGTGCTCAAATAAGTATACATATAATGTGAAAATTCATAATAGCTGTTCAGTTTCAGTAAGAACTGACTACAGACCTTCACAGTGATGTATGAAGACTCTGCCAAGTTTCCTTTCCGGATGATGTCCAGAGAAACTCCTCTCTGATCCTCACACACAGAGTACTGAGATTGAGACAGCTGCACACTGGACCACCTGAGTTCAAGTCTGCAAAGACAAGGTCAAGCATGGTGAAGATGAAGCTGTTCATTTAATATGCCATAAAAGTCAGTTTTACACAGTTTTTATGCCTCCGTGCCGGCAACAGTCAGAGCCGGAACCGTATTGTTTTCAGGTTGTCCATCTGCGTCCGTCCATCAGTCTGTCCCATTCTCGTGGACGCGATATCTCAGTAACGCCTTTACAGAACTTTCAGTAGAACTCAAGGATGAACTGATTTAGATTTTGGTGGTCAAAGGTCAAAGTTGTGGTGACCTCATCAAACACAGTTTTGGCCTTTTGAACGCAATATCCAAGTAATGCTTCGAAGGAACTTCTTCAAATTAGGTACAAACGTTCATCTGGACTCAAGGACAAACCGATTAAATTTTGGTGGTCAAAGGTCAAGGTCAATGTGACCTCACAAAACACTTTTTAGCTATTATTAAAGACTTCACAGTAATTATGACAAAATTTCACACGAATGGTTCATATTTTCTATGACTCTGGATAAACAGGGATGTAACCTGAAACTAGTCTGAGTGGAGGAGGCAGACAACCACGAGGCGATGATTGTAGTTTTTCCTTACATGTGAGAGGGTCCAGTGTTCCCTAAAGGATCAGACACTCTGAACTCCAGGCTATCTGACAGAGAATCCCTCTCTGGATTGATGATGTAGATGATGGTTCGCTTCTTCAGCTCCACCTGTGACAAACACTGTGGCACAAAGCCACCTGCAAAAGCAAAGAGAAAGACTTACTTCTTCATGCAAGTTAAGCTGAAGCGTAGATGAAAACAACATTCTTTTTCAGACCTGTAGTAATGTTTTCTAGGTAACCAAAGTAGGGTGGGCGAACAATGCAGAAGATCAGCTCGTCTTCTCTGCTGTCGCTGTCTTGGGCCTTCAGCTCCCTGGATGACAGGAAGATCCCAGATCGTCCGTCATCTAAAACCTCAGCTTTCCAGAGAGGCAGTATCTTCACAACCTCAGGAGGCGATTTGTCCAAAGGCTTGATCTGAAAATCATATACAGTTTGTTCATAAAATAGATATTGGTTAACATGAATGTCATATTCCTTTGGGTCCTTTGAGTGACAGTCCATATGATAAATATAAATTTAACTTTATCTAGATTTGAAAAATGCTGCATGTGTTTTCCATTGCATACTGATACAGCACAGCATTATTGCTGCATATAGTGTTTGCCCCACACATTGTTGATCATAGGGAACATTCGAGAGGGGTCTAACTGCAGACCTCAGCTGAGGACCCAGGTCTGTGACCCAATGGGAAGGAACAAGTAAGGTGTGTTTCTTTTTAACAAGATTTAATTTATTTAAATGTGTCACTTCTTTTATTGCTACAAAACAAGAAAATACAATAAAATAAAACTTCTACAAAAATATAAAAGCCAACAGATAAAATATAAAAGCCAACAGACCTTTTCCACAGCACACATTTTCACTTGTCATAGCAGGAAAATCACAAGTGAAACTAATTTCATTAACTACGGCTTGTTTCCATCAAGTTCCAGTAAACATGACAGTGAGCCATCATGTTCACTGGAACCAGCTCCCCTTGAATATAGTTATCATTTACACCCATGATTTTCCTGCTATGACATGCTAAAATTTCTGCTGGGAAAAATGTCTACAGATTTATTTTTGCAGGGTTTTTATAGTTCCTCCAGTCATGTTTTAAACTCTGTAAAAATCCTCTGCTATGATTCATATTTAGTTTAACATGGTTTTCACACATTAAACTGGGTCTGAAGCTCATCTCCTCTTACTTCCTGATTGTGAAATCTGGATCAGGCTTTGAGCCCCGCCCACCACCTGCTTGCTCCAGGTGGACAGGTGAAAGAGCAGAGAGTATCAAGATGGTTAGAGGTGGAAACATCAGAGAGACTCAGCCACATGTTTGAGCCTCAGTCAGACCCAGACTCAGAGGAGGAGTCTGTTGAGACCAGAACCAGAGACTAGCAGACGGATCAGAACAGTTAGCATAGTTAGCATCTTTTATTTGTTTATGTTGTTTGTTAGCTTGTATTGCAGTGGCTGACACAGTGTTTGTGCTAATGCTAGTTCAGGTTTATTTTCCCCTGCCCCCCGTCCCCACAAGTTGAGAGGAGTTGTTTCTGAGGTTTGTGACATATGAAACCCTAGCTGTCTGAATCTGTCTTTATGAGCTACATATTCAGCCATTCACACAGCACTTCCACATGCTCGTTTTCCTCTGGCCCAGTACACGCCCGGTTCCACAGCCCGATATTTAGCATGCTACCTCCACATCTGGACCAATTTTGGCACACATACAGAAAATCTTACAGGAGGATAACAGCCAGAATCTACCCAGATGTGAAAGTACATGGGCCAGACTGGGCCGAGGACCCAGATAGATGTTGGGCCAGAAGTTCCGCTTTGCTGTCTCACAGACAGAAAATACTTTTAAAAGCCAAGAAAAACCAATGTGTATGTTTTACCTCTAAAACAATGTATCATAAAGCAGAACAACTCAAAACAGATCAGTTTTCAAATGTAATTCAGCTACATATACATTTTATATTATGCAGATGATTTTGAAAAGAAGAAAAGGGGATGCTTTAATGGTAAACTAATTTCAATGGAAATTTAACTTAGCCTGCATGGAGCAAATTATGCAGCCATTCAAAAACATGACATAGATTACAGGCTGCTACAGGCTACACTGGCTTCATTACAGTCATTAGCTGAAAGATATGCTATGATTTCAGTTTGCATTCTGGGTGCCGTAAATCCTTGTATGCTACTGTAAAACATGTACAGTTCTACAGCTATTTGGCACGTTACCACCACCTTCTGGTGTGTGAGTGTTATTGATGTTCATGCTCATTAGCTGCAATCACATACATTCAGTTCACCCTTCAGTCCTTAGGGAAAAATGCTACTTCAGGAAATGATGCATTACACCTGGGTATCCTACATTTCCTATTGGCTCACAGACCTAGGATGTGAGGTGTGCTAACAGCCACGATGGAAATGAACAGCTGGGAGAGCTGGAAGACACACACATCACACAGCCTTTATAACTCATAATAAATCATCACCTACCTGAATGGTGAAAAACACAGGTTCCACATGTAAGCGCCCGTCCAGGAGGAAGCCTCGGTTGGTGCTGTCAGAGGCATTGAAGGCGAAACGATCGATCTGCGACGGCCCCCCGTTGTGTTTATATGACACCTCCAGCTCCTGTATGTGTCTGTGGGTGAAGTTTGATCCAGAGGTTAGTGTGGTGCCAGCTAAAAGCAGCTTGCCATACTGTGGAGGCTGGAGGAGGGTGAAGGTCAGGGCGCTGGGTGGAGTGTCTGGGTCAGACAGGGCCAGGCAGTCAGGACCCAGGATGATGGAGGAACCCTGGGGGACTGTGACGCCTTTGTTGGAGGACAGAGACGGCAGGATCCGGTCCACCATTTCCACTGCAATCTCAAAGCTTCCATTTCGGCTGGTCTTACCATTACTCACAAAAAACCTGTCAAAGCATACAACAGACTGGGTGTTAGGCTATCTGACTTATTTTGACCTTTCCCTTTGCACTAGTAGCAAGAGCTGTGACATCGTTTGACAAAATCACCAAACACATAAATGAAAGACAAAGTGTGAGCTGTGATTTCAGCTGTATTTACAGTAACATAATCACTCAGAGAGAAAGTTAGAAGAGACAGTGTCTTTTTTTACTTTATTTACTTTATTTACTTCAACTCCAGAACATAACAGACTTTTATTAGAGGCAGGTGTTTATGTTTAACTCCCTCTGTTTGATATGTAGAGTTGGTCAGAGCGGTTAGTACAAAGCCTCGTTACCGATGACTTCTCTCTCTCCCTCCCTCTCTCCTGCTAACTTATGTTTAGTTATTCCTCTGTCCCATTTAGTAATAATGACACATGTACTGAAAGTAGCTTATTTGCTGTAATGGAGGTGAGGTTCAGTGTACTGGAAGTGCTCCTCTTCTTCCCTGCAGTTCCCGAGCAGCTGGGAAACCAGAGCGGCTATGTAGACTGCAGGTCGGTACTCCACTGACCAGTGGTGAAGATACCATCAGTCAGTCAGTCGGTCAGTCAGTCAGCCAGCCAGTTGATCAGTCAGTCAGCCACCGACATTCACAATTATAGGGATGGTCCCGCTGTTGCGGTCTGACCAAAAAGCAAGTACATCACAAGTCAAAGCTCCTGGACTCACTGAAAGGTTTCTGTGGGTGTGCTGCCTCGGTTGTCATGCACATAAGAGACAAGGTTAGCTGCTACGTCCATCTGGCTGAAGGTGGAGATGGCCAGTCCAGGATGCTTGATGTACTCTATGTGTCCTTGAGCAGGAGGGTTAGTGATGACAAACAGAAGCTCTTCAGGTTTCTCTGTGCCGTCTGTGGCGAGCAGCACGTCTGTAGTGAGAACCACACGATCGCCCCGACTGACCTTCACTGGCTTCACAAAGATGGCGATATTTCCTGTTAAAGGAAACATTTAAAGGTTGTATTAAAATGTATGGATTCACACCAGGCAGTTAAACACATGTGACCTTGCAGTCATGAGGATATCACATGTAGAAAATCTGTTCCAAACCTACAGTATGTCTAATAAAGGATATATGTCTGGCTTCTAGTACCTTTTTCAAGATCTCTGACGGCGATGTGGAAGTGCTGTGGGGGTGATTGATTCTTTCCATCCAGCAAGTGGAAGACAAAGAAGTCCTGTGTTTTCGCTGCATGCAGGCCTGTGTGCACATAGCGCAGAAGGTTCATGTCCACCATTTCCTGGGTGCAGTTTTTCCCAGCTGTCAGCGTCACCCAGTCCTGACCTTCCTGAGACAGGATCAGTCACAGTTAGGAGCACAGCACCTCCCTGTGTCTTCCTCATGTTTACATTGGCAGCTCACCATAAAGCAGCACATCTCAATGCTGTGGGAGTTAGGACTTAATTCCATAAATACTGCAATTCTTCTTTACAAGAATACCTCTGATTCATGGTAGATTGTCCTTGTCCTAGTAAATGAAACCCATTGGCCACAGCAGCTTTCTATGCCCAATCAGCTTCCTCAGTTTAATACAACCATTTGACCAGTCTTAATCATTACAATCATTGCCAAGCTGCCATGGATTTTTTTTCCAAAGCATATCTTTGTGAGTTTGTCTTGTGATGACTGAAGTGCATCCAAACCTTTAACTGTTCAGTGACAATTAGCCAGTTTTTGGAGACGGTCAGATTTGTAAAACCTTGACCTCTAAGCTTTTATTGTATTGTGTGTTTATTCTATGACACAGGGAGATAGATATTACAAAAATATATATTTTTTATAATAAAAATGTATCAACTTACAATAGAGAAACAGTGTGACAATGTGACAGGAGTTCCTTGTAGTGATGAAGCTACAAATAATGATCACCTGAAACTCTTTATAATGCTTTATAATACTAACTACTTTAGCTCATTGTTTTTCTGTACGGCCACCAGGCCTGGCCATATCCAAAATCTAATATGTTGATACAGTCCAGCCCAAATACCGCGATATAACATATTATCATATATCATAGGGGGGATTTTTTCAAATAATATGATTAAGTGATTATTTTTCATGTTTCAGTTGTTTTTTTTAATAATATATAATTATATTTTGGTATGTTATGTTTGAGGTATAAGTGATGCTGCCACTAAACAGTGGTTCAAAGTTTTATTTGTCACATGCCAAAGTTTGATGTACGTTAAGCAAAGAAACTACATGAGGGTTGGACTCTGAGGCAGGGCAGACTGAGCAAAACTGCAAAAAAAATCGGATTTTTTTCTCAATATTATGAAAAATGCAGGAAATATTGCAATATTCATTAATAATGAATACGGATCCAAGCGTAATGGCCACAACTTTACTGTTTTGGGTCACTCTCACCGCTTTCTTTTTCATTTGATCATTCAGTCATTTTCAACTGCAGCAGGCATCTCTGATAAAACCACTGTAATCATCACTCTAAAATATGAAATATCTTAAACTCAATGTCACTGGTGTTGCAAGCTTTATTTTTGGTATTTGGTATATCATGTTTCATTTCCACTAGACTTGGGTGGTTATTTGAGAATATCAAATATTATATTATATATTTCGCCACATGCAATATTTTCAATAATATCTATGTTTTGTTGTTGGGGTTCTTCTTACCCTGATTTTACTGCTTTGTACTTGTATGTGACAAATAAAACTTTGAACTGGTGTTTTATTAGTGCCCAAATATCACGATAATATTGTACATCGCGATATTTGGGCTGGACTGTATCGAGATGTTACATTTAGGATATCACCCAAGCCTAATTCACACTAATTCACACTGCCATAACAATTAGCTGTGAATAATTAAATATCACTTGTGAGAAAAGCCTTTACTGTTTACCGACTGTCAGTATGGAGCACTGGCATAAATTATCTACTAGGTACAATCTCTTAATACAGCTAAAGTGACAGAGGACATAACATCAGAAAATTTGGTGTATCTCTTTGAAATCTAACATCATTACACCAACCTTGAGTTGAAGTAGTCCTTGGGTAGGAACAGTCTCAAACATGTACATGACCTCTGAGGAGGTAGTATCACTGTCTTGTGCAAACAGTGTCACACTGGAGATGAGCCTGGCCTCTCCTGGCTCCACCTCCAGCCCATTGTTCCTAATGGACAGAAGATTGAGACAAGTTTTGCTTTTTTTTTTTCTACAATCAATCATGTGATGACACACTTTAAATATGAAGTGTGATGAAGGTGTTAGTCTAACCTTATGGTGTGAGGCTCCTCATCATTGACTGGCAGCACTTGAACCATCACTTGTCTGTGGAGTTGATGCCTGCTGTCAGTTAACTGGATGGTAAAGCTATCCTCCATATTCTCCGAGTCATCGTGCATGTACATCAGATCCATACCTGCAAACCGATGATGGCACAGATTTTAATGACTTGTTGAAAAATGTAATAGTGAGTTTGAATTATTCTATAAAGAACTGCATGCTTATTTCATACTACCATTAACAAAAAATTATAAAAACTGTTCATTTTTAATATAATTGTACTGTATGTCAATATTTCCTTGCTGTTGACATAAGAATCTGTCACATATCCACAGTAAACACTCTGAAACTATTTACTCCACTTTTAAAAAAAAATCTTTACATCAACAGTTTCAGTGTCTGTCGTCTGGTTCCCTCCTCAGACTCCTTCAGCCAGAGCAAACACATTCAAACGCTCTTTTCTACCCTGTGACACTAAACTGTAAAAAAAAAAAAGAGCTAGATTTTGTTTTAACTTATTGTCTAACGTACTCTTTCTGTTTTGTTTTTATTATTTATTGACAAGTCAAGTCAAATATTTTATTTGTATAGCACCAATTCACAACAGAAGTTATCTCAAAGCACTTTTTAAATAGAGCAGGTCTAAACCTTCTTTTTATAATATTATCTACAGAGATCCAACAATTCCCACCAAGAGCTGCACTTCACGACAGTGGCAAAGAAAAAACTTCCTTTTAAGAGGCAGAAACCTCAAGCAAAACCGGACTCAGCAGCATGTGGACTCTGCGCTTGCAGTATTCACCACACCAGTTTAACCCAATTATCTAAACTGCTTATTTGGAAGTTAAACCAAGAACCAATGGAAGTTTATAATAGACAGTTTGGGTAATAAAAACCTGGCCCCATTCACCCTGATGACATCATGGGGGATATTTCACTATTTCAGTATTCTTCATGAGTAATGACACATTGACCTTCTTGTGGAAGGTAGGTGCCCCTTTCATATTTCCAGTTGGAAACTGATGTCATCTTTCCCACAGGACATGAATGCAGCATGATACTGTGAACCAGACCACGGCTACACTGAGACAAACTGTAACTGAGGCTACAGCACAGACGCGTCAAAGGTACCATTAATAAGATCCGTCATTGTAAAGTCGACAACAGGGGACGGGGGACCAGCCTCTCGTCTCTTGCTGACTGGCTTCTCCCTGTCGTGGTTGATGATGCTGCCGTGCTGAGGTGGTTTGACGATGCTGAAGAGCAGCACATTCCTGGGGACATCCAGATCCGATGCATGCAACAACGACGAGTCCAGTTGCTTGGTTTCTCCTTCTCGTACCTCGTCACAGAAGGACATCAATCAATAATCGACCATATCTCGTGAACAAAAAGTCTCCTGGTTATTATGATTTTCAAAAAGTGAGACTGGCCATGAGAACTTACTGTGAAGTTGCGAGCCATAAACTCTGGGATCTCATCATTTGTTGGGTTAATAATAATGTAGAAGGGCACATGGGCAGAGCTGTGTTTGCCATCTGACACACAGAGCATGAGCTGGTCAGCTGTGGGCTCCATCCTCTCATGTCTGGACTGGACGTAGTTCACATGGCCGTCAATGATGTCTTTGTATGAAAATGAAGCTGTGAAATAAAAGGTTAGACAGAGGAACACATGAAATCAATTGTTTGTTTCACCCATGTAATGATATATGACAATTCTTACCTATGCTTATACCCATGTTGCTTTTCTCAAAGCCAGGACTGGGCAGGACATTTTCAATGTAGCCAAACTGGGGTGGAGAGATCAGATTGACCACCAGTTCATCCAGGACAGTGTCCACATCAGAGGCCTTCAAATGAGAAGCAGTTATCGGGGCAGCTCCACCTTCATTCACCACAAAGATGTCTCCTACGAACAGATGAGAAAATTCTAAAACATTTAAAACAACTAAAATCCCTGTGACTGTTCAAATAATGGAACATGTAACTGATACATTTTTTTCATATTAATTTTCTGTAACAGTATTTCTTTGTTGAAAAAGGTCAATATGAATCCTTAAAGTTTAAGTGGTCCTGACAGCTGCACCCACACAGTCCTCAGATCAGGTGTAATCAGGCCAGATAAGTGAAAACACCTGTACCATGGGAAGGCTCAGGCCATATCCAAAATTTAACAACTCGATGTAATCCAGCCCAACCCATACATAAATGTAATATATGGCATATAACCCGATCAGTCATAACATTCTGACCACTGACAGGTGAAGTCAATAACATTATCTCATTACAATGGCACCTCAGTCAGTGGGTGAGATATATTAGAAACCAAGTGACATTTAGTCTTGGGGTCAATGAGTTGGAAGTAGCAGAATGAGTGAGTGTAAAGATCTGAGCCACTTTGACAAGGGCCACATCGTGATGGATGGACAACTGTGTCAGAGCATCTCCAAAACTGTTTAACTGTTTAACAATTTCAGTGCTGTGTTATTTTCCTCAGCACAATGTTGAATGACCCACCTGTTGTTAGTGAAGGTGGTTGGCTGTCAACTGGAAACACTGTGATTTGGAGGTCATACACAGGGAGGCTGTGCCGGGACTGAGCTGCACGCATGGTACTGATGGGATTTCCTCCACTGCAGCATGGAGCAGAGTTTTCTGTTTCTCCATCAGAAATGACGAAGGTGATGGTGTCATGGCGAGGAGTGAGACCAATCTCCAGTCCTACAACAACATTCATATAAAGCACTTTCAGAGACAGTCCCGACTGTTCCAAGATATGTACTCCATGTTACACGGACAGGTGCTTTGTAAAATATATACTGTATATATGTACAGCTCCAAAGCATGAGAATGAGTTCAACCAATATGGCTTCTTTCATGTGTATACAGATGTAAAATACAGATACTTTTGGATTGTAGTAGCAATAGCTGAACAAGCCATACTCCCAGACTGAGAAGTTTGATACCAAACATTGTCTGTGCCCTTATGTACAGAGCTGGTATCAGTACATTGTTAGCTTAGCTTAGCGTAAAGACAGCTAACCTGGCTCTGTAAAAAAAAAAAAAAACTTAAAATGAAGAAAACTGATTTGAATTAGGAAATAAGTCTGTGGGACAGGCCTCTGTAAATAGTGGCACATGGGTATCACATTAAATGTATTTTGCCTATCAATGAATTGTGCTGGAAAAACTATCCCTAAATTGAAAGTAATCAGTTATATCTATAAATTCTACAATGAATTATGATCTATCAAACGGCATTATAACCACTATACTAAAGCGGATGACTCAGACCCTAACTCTAACAGAAGTCTTGATATATTCGCTGTTACCTGTGTGTTTGTAGGTGATGATCCCTGCAGTAATGTCCGCCTGGATGAAGCGATCGACCACGACACCATTTCTGAGCACCACACCGTGATATGGCTGCCGGGCAATTAATAGGGCCAGACTGCTGTTGTCGGAGTCTGCATCAGAAGCGTAGATGTACTCTGCTGTGATGACTATCTCCTTTCCCTCCGCACAGCTGAGAATTGGTTTCAGACCAGCAACCAACACTGGGACCTCGTCATTAATGGGATTCACCTGAAGATGACATGCAGGAAGTCACTGTGGTGAAACAGAGAACCAGTGTGAAGCCATGAAGATAGTTCACTATAAAGGAGAGCAGTTACCTTCACTTGCAGGACAAAACTGACTGAATTGGTTCCATCTGTGGCAGTGAATTCTATGTTGTCCTCTATAGTTTCTGAGCTGTCGTGATTGTAACTGCAACAACAGATAACACACAAAATAAAGATTTGATGAGTCATGAAATGAACATATGAATTTAAACAGTAACTCTAAATACTGAATCCATTCTTAAAGCTAGAGACCATCTTGTGATGGGATCAGACCGGATCAGACCAGCAGCCACACCCATCAACATGTCCCCACCAATGAGTACTCAGTAGTTATTACTATGTTATTACATGAATACTCAGTACTCAAAGGTCAGACCATATGGAATGCCATTATAATCAATATCAAATAAATATGTATGTAAATATAATAATATATGTAAATAAATCCTGAAATAAATAAATTATGTAATGTACATGTAGCCTTTATGGACGTAAATATTTCAGTGAGTCAATAAATAAATAAATAAATAGCTTTATAAATGAATGAATGAATAAATAAATGAACAAATAAATAGGTTTCAATTTGCTCTGAAACTGTGAGATAACCACGTCCACTCATTTGAATATAACAGGTAGAAATAAGAATTGCTGGGAAATAAATGAGACATTTGGAATAAAAAAAGTCTGAGGCATTTGTAAATAAAAGTCTTGAGAAATAAATAAATGTGGAATTATAAAATAAAAGTCCCCTTAAATAAATCTAAAAAAATTTAAGTAAAAAGCTATTTATTCATTTATTTATTCAATCATTCATTCATTTATATAGCTATTTATTTATTTGTTTACTCACAAATTTGCATGTATTTATATATTTATACATTTATTACCTAATTTATTTATTTCAGGATTTATTTCACAACTGTATTTATTTTTGAATGTATTAATTTATTTATTTGATTAAAATGGCATTCCATAAGACCACACCCATCTTCAAACCCTTCATTCTGATCTGAACTACACACCTGTAAAGTCTGAAGACTGTATCTCACACAGTTGTGACAGAATCTGTCCACAGACATATAAACACCTGCCAACGCATTCAAAACCCCCTCCGTGGTTGTTCCTGATACAGTGGGGTGTCTCATTTTGCCACCCACCCACCCATCCACCCACGCACGCACGCACGCACGCGCGCGCACACACACACACAGACTCACACAGGTGCCAAGTGACATGCTTATGCAAGCTGAGTGTGGGGAAGCCCAATTTTGGTTTTGTTGGATCTTAACTCAGCCTCAGATCCACATGATACTGTTGTTTTGAGCGATGGCGTCCCTCGAGGGTGTTTACTTGATCCTATTTAATTTTTTATCTATATGCTACCATTAATCATCAGTTTTCAGTTTCATGCAGAACACATTCAACTGCAACAGATGTAACAAAATATTCTTGAATTAAATAAGAATATTACAAAGTTCCTCATTACCAGCCCAGAGAGTGTTTAAAGACACTGCAGCAGTCGCCTCTAATATCAGGCTTTACACTAAGAGCTTACACACTGATTCAAGTTATATTCAAGAAACTTGTGCAATCACTCTATTTCATTGCTCTGTATTGTTATAAACTGTCCTGTTTGATATAATGTGCTTTTATTCTGAAATTCTTTTGAAAAGTGTTTGAAAATATATAAATAAATTATAAGTGAATCTTTACTTAATTACTTTATTTGGGAAAAAAACTATGTAAAAGCACAGAAACCAAGATCAACTTTTTGTTGTCTTGTTGATAACATATTTATGACCCTCTGATAATTGCTCCATCACAACATGAACATGACTCTATTGTCCTGAGATAACAAGATCTTGGGATAATGTGATAGAATTAATTTATTGCTACCAAGGCTGATCTTGGCTTTCATTTAAATTAGCTGCAGTGGACAACAGACAATTGTCTGGCAGACGTTAAATCATGCTTCTCTTGTGAATTACACATAATGAGAAACTGCTACTTTTAGTAACAGTATGAATCTAGAATGTTTAGACCAGTCAATCACTAAATATATTTTGTGTTATTAGGATGATCTGACTCGACATGAAGAAATGAATGAACCAGGATGTCTGACCTAACTTTAAGGCTTTTCAGGTCCTGCATAGTGAAAGCTTGGCCTGGCTTCAGCAGGAGGCCTCCGAGCTGCAGAGTTCCATGCTGCGGTTCCCTTTGCAGCTCCACCTGCAGGACGTCTTCCATTGAATCCACGTCTGACAGCAGCAAGTGTTCTGGGCCAAGCCGGCACTCCCCACCCTCATCCACAGTCAGGGCGTTGGTGATCACCTGAAACACAATGTATATGTTTTTTGTATATGTATAGCCACACGTCCACATGAAGTCAATGAACTAAGAATAGAATGTTGTTTTCCACCTGTGGTGGCTGGTTGTCTTCCGGTATCACAGTGATGTTGAAGCAGATCCCAGTGACTGTTTTGCCCAGATGGTTGGTTACAGAGAAAACAAACTGGATGTACTGGGGGTAAGGGCCAATGTCCATGATAGGAGGCATGTAGGCCACTTTCATGAAGTTCACTGCATGCTAGGAACAAGCAAAACAAACAGATGAGTTTTGTATAAACCCATCTCACCAAATGTACCTCAAGCAGGGGTGGACAGTAATAAAGTACATTTACTTCAGTACTGTACTTCATGTATTTTCAGTATCTGTACTTTATTAATATAGTATAGTATTATTTTTTTGTAGACTTGCAGAACCTTTAGTCAGTGGAATACATTTTCTTCTATTTTGAAAATGTGATAGATTACACCTTGTGTTCATCATAGGAGAAAAACCAATTACAGCAAACTCCTCCACTGTCAGTCATGTTTGAACCTGTCAGTGTCGTAACGATGGAGACGTTAGATAAAGATGAGGCAGAAGATTCATCACGTATCTGAAGTCTGTGTTTGAAGGTTTATAAATAAAGAAAGATTCATTTAGTTTGAAATGTTTGCGGGTGTTTACCACGACCAGACTTCATCAATGAATAAAAATAGAAATATGAAAACAACAAAGGCTCCTTATGTTGATTCAGTTGTGTTTTTATGTCCATGTCAACAGTCTTTGTATCATATCTTACAGTCTTTTTATTTTCCAGGTTCTACAGTCAGACAGTCAGTCAGTCTGTCAGCCAGACAGTCAGTCAGTAGGTTGATTCAGAGTCATTAGGTTCCTTAAATGTGGAACAATACAACAATGTGTTGACAAAAAATGTACTTTTGAATACCTCAGTATTTTTAAAATCAAGTACTCCAGTACTTTAACAATTTTCACTATTGGAGTCATATTTGACCAGGAGGATCTATACTCTGACTCAAGTAAAGGAGCTGTGTACTTTGTCCACCTGTGACCTCAAATATATTGGGATTTTAAATGATTACCTGTGTGAAGAGCCTCAGCACTGGTGCGTTGGAGTCTTTGGTGAATTTGGGTATGCTGTCCACCAGGAACAGCCTCCCTGCGTCAGGAGTGCTGCACATCAGAACAAGAGCACTCAGTTCAGACAGAGTCCTCTACAGTTTACAGAGTGTTTTCAGAAGGTGAGGACAAACTGACCTGTGAGCACCGGAGTAGAAAGGTGGAGTGGTGATGGTGTAGGTCAGCTCGCTGTCTGGGGACTCCTGGTCTACAAAGTGAAGCTGTTGTCGGGTTATGTGGACCACTTCTGTTTCTTTGATCATGAGACACCGGGTGGAACCAGGAACCTCTTTAGGTGGCTGGTCTGGAACAGGTTCTATGTGGACCATCACCACCTGAAGACACCATGGTAGATTGTAGTAGTAAATTATTAAAGTAGACTAAAGATGTTTTTTCATGGATGTTTTTCATTAACTTTTGTTTTAGCCATGTAAGCAACATGACTCAAGAGATGACGATATCAGACAGTCGGCACCTTTTCAGTTCATAATTAAATATCTCAGATACTATTGGTTGGATTGCCATGAAATTTGGTACAGACAAAGATCAATGGTCCCCAGAAGATGAATGACTTGGTTGATCCCTTGAGGTAGACAATTTTGGTTTTAGGAAAATATCTTGTGCCACACATTCAGTACAGGCCTTGAATTTGTGGATCCCCTGACCTTCCCTGTGGTGCCACCACAAGTGAAATGCTAACAAGAATCGGTGTGACTACGTGTTGAGTGAGCATGTAAGCATGCAGTTGAAGCTCACAGATCTGCTAGCACAGCCGTAGACTCCTAAGCTTAATTTATACTCTGTGTTCGGGGGTTACAGTGTGGCTTCAGACTCATGTAGCTAATATAAGCTTCTTAAGAAATGTCTCAACACACCGGGGCTACCCAATGGAGATGTCAGGAACTGCTCAGCTTGGGTAGGTTGAGTTTTCTCTGATGCTGGTGGAGATTGTTGATACTGAGTTGAAGACGGACTTTTCACTAACACTGATCTAGCAAAGCCAAATCCACTTCTGCTCACTGAAATAGCCACTCTGTCTTATACTGAATAAAAGAACATCACCATGGCAACTGTACAGCAATAATGGGAGAAAGACAACCTTTTCACAATCACTCTATATACATGATCAGCATATGGCCTGATGATGAAAGAACAGTATCTCCAGCAGAACTTTCATCAGCCCATTGTGTTAATAAATATCCAACCAGCCGGTTCAAGTCTAAGCATTAACTCTCTTCAGGAAACTGCCACCTAGTACCTGAAGCTAAACCTAAATAAACCTACAGTAGCATCATCACATATCAAATAGACTTGTACCCTGAGAGCTCAATGCACTGCAACTTAAGAAAACAAACAAGCAAACAGACACAAACACATTCAGAAAACATCAATCCATTATCTTTATAGGTGCGCAGGGCGGCTGGAGCTAATCCAAGCTGAAATTGGGAGAGGGCGGGGTTCACCTGGACATGTCTCCGGTCTATCATAGAGCTGACATGAAGAGACAAATTCACACTCACATTCACACCTCTCTGGGCCACTGTTGTGAACTGTACACCTTTACAATTTATGGAATGAATGTGATAATAGCAGAGTGGAGGTGAGAGAAATTTCTTATTAAATTACTATTAATATATATCATAATATTAAATATTAACTATGTAAATACTGTTTATTACTGATGGGGTATATTTATTATTATATTTTTTAATATATATTTTGAATATGGGGGTTATTTTTTATAATTTTTTATCATATTTTGTATATGTGGAATGGAGCACTGCAACATAACAATTTCCTGCAGGGGATTAATAAAGTATTTCTGATTCTGATTCTGATTCTGATTTAATTTAATTCAAAATGTCCATTAAATCAGTGTGTCACACAAACAGCAAGTCAAAGGAAAAGTTGTTTCTGTGTGGACACTAAATCTACAATGAAACTGAGGAATGATAAAAATGTAGAGCAATGAAAATAATTAATGAGATTATACTGAAGGTAACATAATACTGATTAGTTCTACACTGCTGTCATAGTTATACTGCAGTATATCAGAGTTAGACTACACTGACTGAGCTGTATTCAGCCTGCAGTGAAATACAAATTATTCTCATGCTACAGACTTTTTGTTCATGATCATGCAACACAGACTTGAAGCTCCATATTTTCCTCTTCTCCTGTGTTTAATTTGTATTGTTGATCCATAAGACGATATATTTGTGGTTTTAAGAACCAAAACCTATTTCAATACAGTTTTACATTTCCGCTCTCAGGCTTCTAAATAATCAAACAACACATGGACATCTACCTTTATACTACATGGACCTTTAAGTAAGCATTTCTCATATGATAATCTATTGGAGATGTGATTGTTACCCACTTGAGGCTCTGACAGGTTCGGGGGGTCATGGAAATCAGACAGCACCACCTCAAAGGAGTCATCAAACACCTCGTTCCCAAGGTGTCGATAGTAAAGCATGGACTGAGACAGGTCCTTCTGCAGGAAGTGGCTGACAGGGTACCCTGGATTCAAACCAACACAAACATAACAGAATGTGTTTAAATACAAAAACAAACTTCATGTAAGATTTGAAAATAAAGTCTGTTCTCCTGACCTGTGAGCCCTGGTCCTGGGATCTTCATGACCTCCCCTGCCTGTGGGGGGCGGGTGATGTTATAGAGGATGTAGTCATCGCTGGAGTCCATGTCTGAGGCTTGGAGGGTGGAGCCCCTCAGCAGAGCCATTTGGCCCTCAGACACCTCCAGCAGCATGTTGGTAATGAGGAAAGGAGGGCTGTCATCTTTCGGCAGGATCTTGATGGGGAATTTGTGCCGGGTCTGATGGCGACCGTCAGTGATACGGAAGATAATGAAGTCTTTGGTTGTGTCGCTGTCGTCATGGTGATAGTGAACCACGCCTGCTCTGATGTCATTGACAGTTACCATGAAGCCCTTTCCACCTGGAGTTTACATCAAATGATAACATAGAAGCAGAATTCAAATCAAATAAAATATTTAGAAGTATTACATACTGTATATCATGAAACTTGAAGAAGTTTGTTAGCTAGCTTAGTTAGCTGCCTCGCTAGCTGTTAGAAAGTGAGCCAGCAAGGAATCTAGCTTGGTTGTTTACTAACCACAAACAAAAACAAAAAACAAAAGAAAAAAAACAGTTTATTCATGAGACATATTCGTACAGTATCAGCTCTTGTCTCATAACTGTCTGCAAACCATGTGCAGGGATAAAACTGAATGGTGCAATGCAGCTAATATGCTATGACAGCGTCCTCTGTTTTGGACAAATACAAGCAGCTGAAGTCCAGGGAATAACCTTACCTTAAAAGGTAAGAAGGTCAGCAGTAAACTGCCCAAGGTGAAAAAAAAACAGAATCATAAAAACAGAAACCTACTCCCGGTTGTCTGCCTCCTCCACTCAGACTAGTATCAGGTTACATCCCTGTTTATCCAGAGTCATGTAAAATACGAACCATTTGTGTGAAAGTTTGTCATAATTCCTGTTTGAATTCTTGAATTATGGCTAAAATGTGTTTGTGAGGTCACACGGACCTTGACCTTTGACATTTGACCACCAAAATCTAATCAGTTTGTTCTTGAATCCAAATGAATGTCTGTGCCAAACTTGAAGAAATTCCCTCCAGGCATTACTGAGATTTCGCATTCATGTGAATGGGACAAACGGACAACCCAAAATCATAATAACACCTTTGGCCATGGCTGTCACCAGCGTGGAGGCATAAAAACAGTTTTGAAAAACAGAAGTGTTCTAAGTGTCATAGAAAACAGGTCATTTTCAGGGATAAAGAAACTGATGAACCTCCGTTTTTTTCCTGCAGCAGTGAAGTTAGTGAAGCCTTGAAAGTTCATGAAACACTTCCTCCAGGTTGATGACAACAAACCCTCTGTGTGTACCAACTGTGTCACTACACCCTCTGATCATCATCAGGACAACACTGTACTGCAGGAAGTAACTCATCCTACAGCAACATCATGAGCCACATTAGAAGAACTGAACATGATGAAGACCAGCTCAGTCTCTAGACCTGAACCCCATGGAGCTGGTTTGGGATGAACTGGACAGAAGGTGAAAGCAAAGCAACCTGCAAGCAACACACATTGGTGGGACCTTCTGCAACAATGTTTCATTTCCATTGTAAAAAGAAGCTACAAGTGAGTTCAGCTCAGCTAAAATATCCAATTGTTTATTTGTTTAATGCTTTATTTCAGAAACACTGAGACATTGAATCATGCAAAAGCGTATCTGGCCCTGGAGATATTCTAATTACTGCCTTCCATTTAAAATCATTAATTTCACTCTGAAGTTTATTGTATTGACCATGCAAGACCTATAGTGATAGATGACAACAATTAGGACTACCATCCAGTCTAGGCATTTTGCTGATACATTATGATATGACACATAGCTGATAAACAGCTTCATCTAAAGTTTAGTCAAACCTGTCTCCTGCTGTCTTTAGTTTAGAATCTGGGTCAATTGGCAGGCTCCTAGGTTCAGTGTGCCCCTAATGATCTAGACTTTTAACTGATGTATTAGTGTTTAGGTAACCAAGTAGAAGTGGAGAGCTATGATGTCCGTTCACTTGCAGTTGGGTCAGTACCTCTGACGGTGAGTCGCCCATGCTGTAGACCATCCACAGTGATGATACGAACAGCATTCAGGTTGTCGTTGTCCACAATCTGGAGCTGCTCCCACGTTATTGGACGAGACTGACCCTCTAACAGGCTGAGACCTACAAGACAAATTATTCATAGAAAAACTACACTTAGCTAATGCCAAACCTAATTCTGAAGAAAGACCAGAGTCAAAAGCTCTAATGGTGGAAAGTGTCTGTGCTCAGAGAACTTATTGTCTGCTGATCAGGATGCCGTTTCCAATGTCTATCAGCTCCTTTGGTGTAACCCAACTTTTAGATTTATGCTAATTAGATTATCACATAGAAATCTTGTCTGGTGCAGCCTCACAGCTGTATTATTTATTTATTTATTTATTTATTTTTTTTTTGTGGGTTGGTGTTTTGACCAGCACAGGGCAAAAAAGCTTAAACATACACAGCCTGGCAGATAATTGCCTGATAAAACTGTTGTTGGTAAGGAGTTAGCTAAGAATTGTCAATTTAGACATTCATCGGACACACAAAAATATTAGCATTCATTAGCATTCATCTGAGTTGTGTTTCTGTCCACCTGATTCATGTAAGCAGAATATTCACTCTCCTTTAGCTCTGCTTTGGCCTCCAACAACTCCTGAAAAAAAAATCTGGCTCTTTAGCCTTGTTTGACTGTCTTCACCAAGTTGCTAATTCACTGGTGCTAGGCAGGTAGTATAACAGTTGCTGTTGAAAGCTTGGTAGATGAGAGCGCCGTAACACCAAAACAATTACCTAAAAGAGGTAAAAAAGTTCCATAAGGCTGCAAAGTTGGCTCCCTGTGGCTTTGACACCACTATTATTACTTTTGCACTACATACAGTATAGCCATCTTGTTAACTGTTAAAGGTTCTGTGAACGAGATTTTAAATAATAATACAGCAGCAAACATCTATTTTCTATGTAAAGATATATTGGAGTAATGGCACGTTAGTTCATGTGAGTCCCTCAGCTAAACTGTTGGTCCTCCCCATGTTTATAAAAACACAGGCCCCACCAACACGTGAGTTGACACAGTGCACAGGTGAAAGCAACAGCATTCAGATGAGAGTGATCTTCCAGAATTTCCTCAGCTGAAGAAGAAACCACGTTCTCATCTAAAAAGGCCTCAGAGAAAGAAAGAGATGAGACCAGAGAACAGGAGGACTGGACTGAAGACTACTGGTCAAATCCTGGTCGGCTGGTGGAACATCAAAACATCCATGAAGCTTTTATTTATCAGTGTCATTAGTGCGGCTGGTGCCAGTGGATCATTCCAAGGCTAAATTTCTGTCCCAGTCCGACAATGGCTGATATTGGTCAGGTTTACTGAGAGGGAACCCTACAAGCTGCTAAAGGGTCCAGCTGGACTTAGAACTGTTTTTTGTTGTCCTCCACGTGTCAGTAACGTGATGGGTCCTAATGTTACATGTCTGTTTCATTAGTGACGGCTATAGTAGACATGATAACGTTAGCTTACTTGCTGTTATTCATCTTATGAATTTGTTCAGTAAATGTTGCTATCGCTAGCTGGCTAACTGCCAGCGCTGCTGTGGAGCATATCACAGCAATGCTAGCGTGGGCTAATGGTTGTGAGTTGTGGTTATATTGTTTTTGTTGGCTCTCATGTTTACAGTAACTTTATTCAGTTGAGCTTCTTGTGTGTTTAGTGGATGATCTCACTGAGCTTCATCACACTGAGAACATGATCGTTTGCAGAACCTTCAAAGTACAAATTTTAATCATTGGAGTATGTTGTTACATAAATAATTGAATTGCATTTGCAATGTAAGAATGCTAACATACCCATGTTCCAGGACACTCTGGGTGCATTTGTGTCTGCATTCCTTACTGAAAGGTGAACAGTCATTGACAGGCTCCTCTCAAAGAAAAAATCATGAACCTCAAATTCCACCTGTAGAGAAGATGGCAGAAAATTTCAAGATTTACTGGCAATACAAAATTACATTTTACAAAGTGATGTTTATATACTGCACAAAATATAAGAAGGAAGTCTTACCTCGTAATTCCTACGTTGGGTATGTGAGGAGTTAGGAGGTTGATAACCAATTAGCATGTCGTTGAGATCCAACCATGTGAAGGAGGAGATCGGAGAAGTGTGATCGGACAGATGAGTGATGAAGCCGTCCGCAGGAGGTTTGGTGATGTTGAAAACTAGAAGCTGTTTGAGAGTTTCCTCATCTTCAGCATCTAGTGTAGCAGTGGAGATTGGAGTGAGGATGAACTGGTCCACTTCCAGGATGAACATGGACATGAAGGATGGTTTGGGAGGCTGGTTGGGCATTGCACCGACTATCCCTACTGGAATCCAGGTCTGTTCAGACTACACCACAGTATAAAAAGAGAATGAAATCACAAAGGTTAAGACTTCAAAAGAAATGTTTTTGTCACATTTACCATCGTTTTGACCATCAACCATTTTTGATGTTATTATTCACTTTTTTTTTAGACTTGAGTCTCTTATATAGTGCCAAAAAACTGAAAATCAAGTGCTAAAAAACTATAAAGCTGTTATGGAAAAAAAAGAGAGAACCTAAAATCATAACCAAAGAAAATCAACTCTGCTTATGAGTTATGAAAACCATAAATGAACTCAAGAAAGTGCCGGACTGTGCTCATATAACAAGGGTTATATAACACACTGTGCATACATTTTTTTTAAAATAATTTTATTTGTTTTGGTATAGTGACAGCAGGATATCCTGTCTTATTTTGTGGATGCATCCACTCACTCATGTTATGAATCTAGATTGAAGAGGAGAACAGGAGATAAAGGAGGAATTTGGTGCTTTGATGCCCACTGTTGACAATGCAGATGTGGAGCTCTGATGAACATCCATCATGATATTAGAATTGATGCGGAAGTCATCCTGCAAGAGTTTGATGTAACGTTCAGATGCAGAATGAACTTCAAACAGGCAGGAATATTATTTCATTTTATTGTCTCATGTGTTTTTTTGGTTGTTTATTGTAGCAGTTTGGTTTGGTCTTGATGTTATGTATTGTTATTAATGTCTTTAGCAGTTAGTTAGACAACTGTTCTTATAATGATGATGCTAAATGAGAGAATCTATTGCTTAATGTCTTTTACAGCACATTTCTCTTGGATATTAAACATACTATATAACAGTATATTGGGGCCTGTTATTTAGCTGCTATTGTTTTTCAGGCCTGTTGGTTGGTTAATGTGGTAGGTTAATCAGAGTTTTATTGTGGAATTGTGTCTTAACTTTATCGCTAAAGTATACAAATCAATCACTCTCTCTCTCTCTTGCTCAATCACTCATGCAATGAGTAGACGTGCATGTGTAGAAAAAGGTAAAGGTAGCGTACAGGTGGTTCTTGTGCATACTATGAAATAAAGTCCTGCCGGCACCAGTGCTTTGTGCCATCATTTAATACATCTTTAAACCTAATTAGTACTGGAAATATAGTTAGCATTTTAGCACTTCCTGTTTCCTTGTCCTGAAGTCTCTGGGTGTTTTGAATGGGTTTTTGGTCAGATGACTGAAACAAGGTCTGTGGTTAACACAAGCTCAAGACATTTTCACATTTTATTCTACAACATAAATTACGTCAGTAAATGCAAGTGCTAAATGTCAGTAAAGTTTTAACGTCTGTTAAAACAGGCCAGTTGTTAATAAGTGTTAAGAGTACAGACTACAGAGGTTTTCAGAGAAGTTAAACATCATCACGTTGAACATGAAAACTGATTGACTCACCAGTCCACCTTTACAGCCTTGTTGTGTTTATACAAACTGTCACTAACTCTGTCAGAGGAAAGGCTTTTGTTGAAGAGGTCAGAGCTAAATCAAACTACAAGTTGAAGTTTAGTGGTGGTGATGTTGAAGTCATGTGACTGTGGTGTAGTTGGTTCATAGCCTAACATTGGCTTTTTACTTCTGCTGATTGTATTTAGGCCTCAAATATCATAAAGTGGTGTTCATTAGATGATCCTGCTGAACTAAACCTGTCAGGATCATAAACTGTTTGTCACAGAGTTTATTTTCTGTAGTAGTCCAAAGGACAATGGAAAAATCCCATTGGCTTTTAGGAACCAGGGAGATGTTACCTTCAGGGTTGGTCTACAAAAATACTTCATCCTTGCGTCACTCTATACATGTGTAAAATCACTGAGCTGGCACAGGTAGTAAAGTAGCCACATTACCTGATATATGTTGCCACTCCTGGTGTCCTTGAGGTCTAGTCTGATTGCAATGTAGTCTATATCTGGAGATGGAGGGTCTATGTGCTGATATCTCAGCCCCATCATGAGGAAGTCATCACAGGGAATTTTGGTAAACTTCACTAGCTTCAGACCCTTCAGGCAGTCTTCAGATTTACACATGGCCCTGGCTTTATTATCTGCATAATGACAAAACCATAGAGAGATAACACAATTTTGACAACACTTTTTGTATTCCTTTTTTTCCCTATTTCATGTGACATTGTGTTTCTACTCTAACAGAAGCTTTTAGTCATCTTCAGTCTGACTTTGATGCTTTTCAGATATCACTGCTTAATGATGGACTTGTTTTTAATGCTGGTAAGACGACATACATGGTCTCCTCTACATAATCCTGTGTCCTTGGCTATCCTGTCATTATCACTTTTGCTGGATCATACAAATATACTTGACAGCTTGACAGAAGATTGTCCTCCAAGATTCATGTGGAACATTTAACAATTCACAGCTGTCTGTTTAATCTAAACTGTAAAACTATTGTTTTGACAGCTTTATCTGTACTTGTTTATGACATTCTTTAGACAACTGTCATTCTAACCCTTCATCACTTAACACACCACATTATCAGAAGTTTCAATGTCACCTCCCTAAAAGGACTCTTTTTTTATATTAACTCAAAATGCTGAATGCAGACATCAGTCTGATAAAGCTTTAGCTATGAAAAATCATTTCATTCATAAATCTGAAAACATGATTAAAGTCCTTATAGCAGTGGTTCTCAAAGTGGGGTCCAGGAACCCCCAAGTCTCCTTGAGGTGGTTCCTGGGGGTCTCCAGCAAAAAGGGGAATAGTTTATTTTCACTATAATTCCATTAATGAGTAATACTTTGACAGAATGTATGACTCTTTTGGTCATAAGTTTCAAACACTTTCTGTAATATAACATCTAAAAACAAAATTCTGATCAGATGGGGGTCCGTGGTCTAATTTGTGTGAAAAAGTTTTAGAACAACTGACTTATATACATTTCCAACTTGGAACCCTCTAGTAGTAGTATTAAAAAAATTCACCATGGCAGGAAGTCACGCCCCAATGAATCTAACTTGGGCACACTGAGAATAAAGGTGTGAAAGCAGCCCTTATCCTTCATTTGTGACCATTAAAAATCCCATGTAGTATAAAGGTAGATGTCCATGTGTTGTTTGATTATAAAGCAGGTCTAGGTCCTATAGTAATACTGTGAAAGAATCAAAGCACTCAGTCCAAAGAGAAATGCACACAGCCTGTATTCAGAAACTGAGCCTTAAAACCATGACTTTGTGATGTCACAACAAAGCAGTAACTGCTCTCAGTCATGCCACAAGCCCTGCCCTACAGGACCCAACCATGCACCCTGGTGGGATTTGGTTTCTCTGAGTGGTTACCTGAAATCTGTTATATTTTTACTGGATCACTCAGAAAACAGTCAGCCAATCAGAAGAGAGGCTCAGAGCCTCCTTTCTTCTGATTGGCTCACTGACCTGTTGTCACTAGAACTCCAGAGAGATGGTTTTAAAACCACAAATATATCTTCCTGTGGATCAATACTTCAAACAAGTGTAAAGCAAAAGTGTAAAATATGGGACCTTTAAAAAATTCTATTAATCCCATAAAGTAGGGCAAAAAAACACCTTTCAATATTTAGTCTCTTGTATCTCTGTGTTAGATTTGATGTTTAGTATTGCTGAATTATTTTCTCTTCACTTATGGATAAACTAGGGATTAGGGATTTGCCATCAAAAGCTATTATCAGCCATGCAGTTTCCTAGGTTACCTAGTTGCTGTCGTAGGTGGATGAAGCTCTCTGGCTCATCCCCTCTCTTGGTGGCTTTCTCTGGCTCTCCAGTGACCAGCTGGCCATGGGCCGGAAGGTGGGTGTCATGGTTGCTGAGATGGATGCTACACTCCAAGCTAGACCTCCTCTCATAATGGAAGGACACCACGTTTCCATCAACAGCATCAGAGAGGCCGTAGAACTCAGGAACCTCCAAGGATTTAGGCCCCAGCTTTATGATACTGCAGTCAGGCTCTATAATGTCCACATGGAGAGAAAACAGCTCCATGTGCGTCTCTGTCTCTGTGAACCTGGACAAAAAAACATCAGCTGGTCATTCATGCTGCTACAAAAACAAAAACAGGAAAAAAGAGAATATTTTAATGATACCCAGACATTGTACCTGTACAGTCGAAGTTTGACAGTGTCGTCTTTTAATAATGGACAGCCATTATGGACGTAGTTCACCTCATCAGCCAGATAATGGCAATCAAACACCTGTACACAGACAGGGAAAAATCTTAATTATCAAATATAATGAGTGAGTTGGCCTACTGTCTGTACTGTATACATGAACTACCTGATCATTACACAAGAATGATGACAGCTAATACATAGAGTAATACTGGTATAAGGGGAGACGGGTTTACTGATTCAGTAATGACAGTTTACACAGTGGTGTCTATTTAAAGTTGTAACATTAGCTAACTTAAATTAAGCTAGTGGTCATACCAGACCAAGTGAAGCTGTAGCAGAACTCTCTGAGCTTCTGTGCATTGTAATGTTTATAAGTGTAAGTTTTCATTCATAAGAGTAAGAAAGTGACATTTCTTTTTTTCAAAAGTTACATTTTTGATTTAACGCTTTAGCATTTAGTGTATTTATCATGCTCAGATGGGAAGCCAAAACGTAATTTTGGCTTCATCCAGATTAAAACTTTTGTGTCTACGTCTCAGTGAGAAGAAACCTCATGGTAAGAGATTTAAGACCAGATTAAAACTAAAATCAGGAACTGAATTAATGCTTCATTTTACAGGCCTGTAATTTCTAAATAATTTGTTTAGCCATGTAATTTGGTATTACTTATTAAGAAAATAGAGACAGTGTTATATTACTACACATCCAAATAACTAACTGCAATTAATTGCTTGCATGCAATTTAAGATATATACAAAATAACATTTTCAATAATAAATAAAGAATGAATATTTACTCATAATAAAATGGATTTTTACTTTTATGGGCATTCTTTTTTCCCCTATATAATTATTGCTAAATTTGCTGAAAAAGAACTTATAGAAGAAATTATTATCATTATTATTATTATTATTGTTGTTGTTGTTGTTGTTGTTGCTAAAATCTTTCCTGGAAATAAATTAATAAACATCGATCTAAATCAAAGAGTATCGGCCAAATGATGATAAATGTTTTAAGAACATTAAATAGACTAAACTAATAAATATAAACTAACTAACTAACTAACTATTAACCAGTCACCGTACTAATAGCCCTAACCTACTAGACCTGTGAATCTGCATACTGACCAGCTTCTTCATAAATTGTTCCCAATTAACTCTCTCAGGTGCTAAATATGACTAAAACATGAATTCCTTATTACAAACATATACAGCTTTGTGACTGGACATGGCATATGTCAGAAAATTAAACGAATACTAAATTAATAAAAGGCTTCAGTGCTGTTTGAGCACCACTTACAGTGAAGGGAATGTTTCAGGATTAATCCTAAACTTTTCTTTTCTACTTTAAAGCATAAAACTGGACTTGTGGGACATTCAGCAGATGAATGTATCTGTCAGCACAGAGTAATTAGAGAGGAGACAGCCTGTCTACCTGGACAACAAAGGAACAGGAGAGGTCCCTTCACATTCTCTTCCCCAAAACATCTCATTGGGCTGCTCCACACATGGAAATACACTCGGTAATACAGTCTTTATAAGGTATAGTATAGTATAAGGTCTCACATTGGCTTTTCAATATTTAATACAAATTAAAACTTTTCCCTTAAGTTAATTCAAGTAGCCTAAATAGGACAGCATATAGGACCCAGGTTGAAATTATATTTCCAATCAGACTGAGATAGTAAACAAGTACACACTGTGTAGCAGCACAACATAAAATTTCCTATCATTGGCTGGTCACAGTGATAGGACTTGATAGAGAAAGAAAGAAATAAATAAAATAATAATGAAATAATGAAAATGAAAGCATTTTTATTTTTTTTTTTACTTTTAAAAACTTTTAATTTTTTTTCTTTTTTTCACCAAAATTATACTGTTTTGCAAATGATTTATCTTAAACATTTTATTATCTTTCTTTCATTATCTATCTTTTTTATTATCTTTCAAATGATGGAGTCAGTGTGTTAATTAAATTTATGTTTGACATATTATAAAACCGAAATGATGCTCCTGGGGTCCAGAGGGGCTTTTGGTGGGAACATGAGGGACTCAGAGCACTGAGACCTTGTCATCATTACCACAACACCAATAATATATGACGTGGTTTCCTACATGTCAGCTGTCAGTGCTATGGAGGTGTAATACACGCCTTCAAACTACACAACTTTGTTTTACCAGCGATGGTAAATTGCCTGGAAAATACAAGGGGGTTGTTCACTAGAGGAGGATTTTTCCATTACCTGAGGCATGAGTTTCCCCACTCGTTGAGTTATGGGCTCATTTAACACCACTTCCACCTTGCATGCATCCTTCTGACGGGGAATATGGAACTGCAGGTCGCCCTCATCAAGGTAAGCAGACTGACCCCGTTTCACCTTTAAACCCTTATTGACTTTGACCAGGGAAGCGTGCAATGAGCTGATCATCCCCAGCAGCAGCAGCAGCGTCCAGGCCAGTGTTTGAATCTGTGAACCCATCGCTATCAGTCACAAGACAACGTCCTGCAGGGTCTTCCAGGAGTAGCTCCAAACAAAACCAGGGCTGTTCTCAGAAATACACTTTGGTGGGAGACTTCTGTAGACCAAGGCAGTCTTTCCTCTTGAGGAGAAGCTACATTTTCCTCTGGTTGTTCGATGAGTCTATTGCATGTGTGTGAGATTTCACATCAACAGTCAGGAGCTAAATGAAAAGAAAAAAAAAGGTTTCATATTTAACTCAACATATATTCTACTGCTACAGCAATAAATACAATGGTCCTGAAGTGTAAAACACATTTCACAAGGCAAATGAACAAAACTAAAAATACCACAATATTTAATTGAACCAAATGAGCAAGAGCAAAAATAATGTGTTTCATAAAAGCAATTATAGCAGCAAAGACTTCAGCGTGTCTGTTGTTTGGTGCTGAGCAGGTACAGTAAGTTTATGAGAAACTGATGATGAACTGATGAAACTCCCATGATGATGAGGGGCATCATCCATGTAGTTATACTAGACAATGATTAGCATGTTTTCCTCTGCTGCATCCTTCCTACACGATTCATACTGCTGAGGGCAAAGCCGCAAAAAATGTGGGAAAACTGGGTCAGTTGTATGAATGTTGAATTATATCAATGCACAATATCAGGCCTATGCTTCTCCACATCAGTGACATCAACATCTAACAAAATCAATCTTCTGCACTTTGAACTTTTGAACTTTGACTCCACAAATTCTAAATGGTCGAGTGTAAAAACAAAATCTCTTCTCAGTAACATTCCTTAAAGCTGGGGTGGGTAAACTATTTCTTTAAATTCTCTCAATGCCCTGATAGCAACGAAAACATGAAATGATATGACAATAGTTCCGAAAAAAATGCTTCCTCTGTGACAGTGGCAGGGATATAAAGTGATTTGTTATACCAAAGTAGGGCTATGCTTCTCTCTTCTCAATTTCATATATTGGCATAAATGTCTAGTCCATACAAATATATATATTTATGTATGTATACTTATATTGTAGACATGTTACATAAATATATATCCATCCCAAAGCCTGTCAATATATGTTGATATTATTTACAGTAGTGTCCAAAAGTCTGAGACTTTCCCAGAATGTGAAGATAGACATGTTTAAGATTAATGAGAAATTAACAAGAAAAGAATTGTATATGTTGTTGTTTTGATAAACCTGCATATATAAATTAAATATATGTTGTTAACATATATGCTTACAACATAAAAATCTATCATATAGATATTTTTAATATACTGTATGTACATATACAGATTTTACTATAGATAATTCATATACAGTATGTTGTAAGCTTCATATATCCAGAGGATGTAGAGTATATACAGTATGTGATAATAATATATCCCCTTAGGTAACACATGTAGCAACATCACGCTTGATATAGGGACATATGTCATATATTACATTTCTGTATGGACTCCCTCGTTAACCAGCAGAGTGGCTCCGGAGAGATGTGTGAAGGGAAGGGGTGGTATTTTTTCAGTTGGATAGTCTCAAAATTTGGCAAACTCATGCTAACACCTCCAGGATTCCCAGCTTCTCCTGTAAGTATCAGCGTGCATTGTTGTACAATCACTGGAGGTTATTGCCAGTACCTCGAAGGACTAGTTCAGCTGTTTGTGAAATACTGTGTGTTTATTCACCACATTTCAGAGACTGGGATGAATGAGACTGATGCCAATCTCCTGTGTGTGTGTTGAGTACAGAGTCAGGATGTGGTTAGCCTAGCTTAGCATAAACATATGAAGGCAAGGGGAAACTACACCTACCAACACCTCTAAAGCTCAATGATTAACATGTTGCCTGCCATTTACTAAATCTATGCACAAAAGGTAAAGGTAAAAACAAACATGCATGGTTAGGTGCTGTAACAGCCGGGCACAATGACTCTGTGTGCTGTCTTGTGACAGTGTATTCGCCAGGCTTGGTGCCATTGTGCTGGTGCAGAGATCAAATCCAAACCTCCACATCTGTTCAGCCTCACTGCAGCTGGAGATGTTTCCCCGTCCCTAAAACCACCGACTGTTGAACTGCACAGAGCCAAGCTAGATGTTTCCCCCTGCTTCCAGTCATTGATGCTAAGCTAGGCTAACCATGTCAAAACTCCAGCCCTACTTAACACACAGGCATGAGGTTGATATGAGTCTTCTCATTTCAGTCACAGAAATAAAGCAAATAAGCAAACATCTTGAAAATGCAGTTAGTTACCTACATCGTTAGTTCTCTATCATAATATCTGTATCTGTTAAGAAACACCCAGTACCACAGGAAACAGTATGATTAGACAAGACTACTATGAAGAAGCACAAATATAATCACACCCTCATATACAGGAATAGACCAACACTGCTGGTTTGTGATCACGTTGTTTTTTCATTGTTTACAGTATCATTTGATTGTTTCACCAGCTGCAGACCAGTTCCTCTTCTAAACTTTGTGACTTGTTCTGCACTCAGCTTGTCAGGAAATATGTTCATTATGAACAAATGTTTCCCTGAGGCTGAACACAGTCATGATTTAATGACATGATTTCTTCTGTGACCCTTGGCATTTAAAGACTCACCCCCCAACGTGGGCCTTTCTGCTGAGGAAGACTGGTCTCACTGTGATTATTAAAAACACTCAGGGACAAACTTCTTATAAAACCATCTTTAAAACATTCTTTAAAACAACCTCAGGGCACCTTGCATTTCTGAATACAAAGCCCTAATCTTCCTCATTTTTGCAATCATACTTTGCTGAAGCTGGAGCTGAGATTAAAGCTCATAGTACTAATTACTCCTTTCTCTGCAGGGAGCAATAAAGTTTCATCCTCTCTCAGCCCAGATCCCACTGAGGGTGTGTGGTGGAACTGTTTTGTATTTGAAAACAGGCTTCAGATGTCATACTGCCACATTCCTTCAGTGCTGGTCTAGGACACCTACCCCAGACCTCACGCAGAAAGCACCTTGAACAGAAAGCGCCTTATAATCAGCTTCGGCATTGGGGAACATGTTATAGCTTGTCTGCGTGAACAATGCTTGTGTTTAGAGAGCTGGGAAGATCATGTTCAAGGAGCTGAGTGTAAAAACAGGATTTCCAAATAGTCAAAGCCCCCTCCACCTCCACCTCAGACTCCACCTCCACCTCCCCCTCCATCAGGAGTGCTGGCAATGTACTGCTTTTGTGCATCCTAAGAAAAATCTAAAACATGTCGTTGTCATATTTTAAACTCAGCTGTAGGATTACATACATCATGGTTTCACCTGACAGTAATAGTGTGTGCTTTGAATGACCTTTGGTATGTGAAATATAGACTATAGAATAGTATGAATAGTGCTGTACAATTCAAATACAGCAAGGATGATTAGAAACACCTCAGTTTAAAAAAAGTAGCACCAACAACACTGGCAAATGATCATATCATAAGGTCGCTGGAGCTGACGTGTTAGCAAACAGCTGCATATTTCCACATCCAGCAGACAAGGAGCAACATTAGCATTCATTCTGAGCCTTGTCTGTGTCCAGCTGAGTGAACCTAAGTCTCCTTTTAGATCAGTTTTGGTCTCCACCAACTCCAACGCTGCTAAATGCTTCACTATGTTCACCAGCTGGTCTCTGACTTTGTCTGTCTGCTGTTTGCTGTTGAGCTAGGGTCGCCACCTGTCCTGGTTTTAATGGGATTCTTCCCTTTTTTCAGCTACTGTCCCAGAAAATTTATATTCTTTTGGGACACAAATTGTCCCAGTTTTTGTGAAGATGCATTTCTAATTTAGAATTTCATAGTTTCATATAAAACATAATTTGTTTCCTTCTACTGCTTTTCTGTTTTCTTCCTAATTATGTTCAATCTTGTGTCCGTAAACATATGAAAACAGGTACAACAGTAACAATTGGCCAATGGTCATTGCCGTGTGAATTCACATCAACAACCCCACCGTGAATTCAGGCAGAGAGGATTGAGGTGGTTTCTAGCAAGAGTGTTAGTAAAAGAAAACAAAAACAAACAAACAAACAAAAACACTTACTGTGCTGAGCAGGTAATGTGCAGGGGATTTATCAGAGCTTTTCTACTGAAAACAGCTGCCTGTCAGAGAGAACTGTGAGACTGAATCAGAAGAGTAAGGTCTGGGGGCCTAGAAACCAAAACAACAAGCTGAAAGACACTGAAATTGATCTCACTGTACCCCCTGCCTGTCTGAACACATGGGGTTTGTGTTGTCCCACATCTCCTGGAAACCACTCCCAGAAGACATTTCTAGTATTGATCTCTTCCTACCTTCAAATCCTACCTCAAAGCACACCTCTCCAAACTTGCCGATTTATTCTAATTTATTTTGTATTTTATGCCATGTACTTGCTATTTTATTTCTTTTATTGTGTGTTGTGAGGTAAGGTGCCAGTAAATAAAAAGTATTATTATTATTATTATTAAAACACTCCATGGACCTGGGGGAACTGTAGTTTGGTAATAATTCTCTGTGGGTTTGTCACTATGAGCAATGTCTTTCACATTACACGTATTGATTTGATGCTTTGTAAGTTTTCTCTGCCACTGACTGTGGTTTCTTATCAGGAGCAGGTGATGGTTATCACGCTTCACAACAACTTTGACCATTGTTGTGTTTACAAGACAAGAGGTAATAATAAATCCTCTGAGCAACTTCATCTTCAGGAGACAGCTGTTGGTGAGTAAAGGAATGAAATTTGATGCTGAATTCACAACGTTTCTTCTAGACTGGTAAGTAAATAGCTGTTAACGCTAATATTAGCTATGTAGCACTAGCAAAACTTAAAAAATAGCCCCTTTAAACCTTAAATTGTGATCTAAATTAATCAGTTGAAAATAGAAAAGTGTACTGATTGAAGTATATGAAGGATTACAGTGTATATTCTTGGCTACAGAGTCAGTTTGTTTACTAATGTTAACAGCAGTTACTGCCAAAGGTCTGTAACAGTCAGATCGAGGGAAAGTGATATGCAAAATCGTCTCTGTTAGTCCACATGAGCACATATGTTCATGCTACCTCCCCTGCAGCTTTGACAGAATTGAGATATGTAGCAAAACAAAGTCCAGCTGCATGCCACAGCTGAGAGTAGATCACATCTTAGCAGATAACAGTCTGTCCAGCATTGTGTCAGACTAAACGCCTGCATG